TTTTATTAATACATTTTTGTTATTTTTTTAACAAAACTTTTGATTGACCAAGACAATGACACATATATAACATTACAAAACTCGTCCTCTCACAAGAGGGCTCTCATTCTCCACACACATCATTTACACTCTCACAAGAGAGGTTTCATTCTCCACACTCGTCATTCACACTGCTACAGGAGGGCTCTTATTCTCCACACACATCATTTTATATATATTTCACAGTGCAACAGGAGGGCCCTCGGTCCCCACAATCATTCACACTCTCACAAGGAAGTTCACATTCTCCACACACATCATTCACATTGTTCATACTTTAAGTTCACTTGTTCATACACTTTTAAACATGCACATCATTCTTTACTATGAACAAACGTTTTAAATGATTATGACACATGTACATTTACAGCATGTTCTCACCCTCCACTAACAACTACAAACATCATTTATACCTTGATGTCTTGCATGTATTTCACATCCACCAAATCAAAAATCTTCGATTTTACTCACACCATTCTTACTATGATAACAACAATCATAGGAACAAATAAAAAAGAGCTGGCGTGAAAATGGAACTAAGGAATAGATGGCCAGAATATGTGATATATATTACATAAATCAAACAGAAAAAGGTTATACTTAAATATATAACTTGAGTTTTTTATCAAATGGCTCGAAACATACACATATTTCATGAATGTCGGCAAAACCACTATTTTTATAGGTATTCGCTTTTCAAGTCGTCAATAAGACAAATACGCTTGTCCATCCGGAACGTCTGGTCCTATTCTCCATCTATCCAGTGGTCTCTGTTTATTCGTATTACATTCTCCTACATTTTACTGATATCGCGTGTGAATTACCATTTCGTTGATATGCCGATAATCTCTAGTTGTTATTTAACAACAATCACGCCGATAGGTGAATTACATATTAGATATAAATTGACGAAGTCTACAGCACATGAATGATAACGAATAAAACTGCATCTTCCAGCAGGTCAATGAATGGTTTTCATGGATTCAGAGGCCAAAACTTTTAAAATCTGGAACGTTAGGTAGAAATCAATCACTCTAAAGACGCATTTTTGATATCGAATGATTTAAAATAAACTAGTCAGTATATCTCTCTAACCGTAAATCTCCTGTTTCATACATGAAAACTGATTCATAGGTAAACATTGCTCACTATCTTTGTCTCACAGAATTAGGAAGCATACTTCACGTTTTGAAAGTCTGTTATGATGAAAACATGCCCACAGATAGCATTTAATTAGTTTTTAATTTACATTTTAGATCCAACTGACTGCGTTTACTTGGATTTATCATTGCTGGTGAAAAGTGCGTTTCTTAAATATTTATTTTGACTACTCTGTAATAAATTCACATTGGATTTTTTGTAAGATTATTAAGTGGTAAACACGCTGTAAACATCCTCATTGTGGTCTTTATATTGCATGAGAAATGCAAATGAGAAAGAATTCACTTATTTAAAGTCGGGCTGGAGGAAAGCTGATCGTCACGGAAAAAATAGATATAAAATGTCTTTACCATTTGATAAATAAAGCTGTAGACGTGTAAAACATTATGATAGATTTGCATCTTAAATACGTCATCCTCAAATCGTCACTGTTATGCACATTAATTCTGTCTATTTTAAGTAATTAACTAATGACTTTGTATGCTATAGCACTCTGGAAATTTTACTCATAGACTTAGACATAGACATATATACATCCTGTCTGGTGTCATAATTAGAGTACCCAGACTGATCTTTTATGTAGATATGTGTCGATTTCACTCTTTTACTTGTGGCCATAATATGTTGGAAATTGTTCAAACACATGCACATTTGTGAGGTGATATGCTGTTCTTTGAACTGTATTTTGTAGCTTGCATATAAACCCTTTCATTTGGACTGTATCTCAACTTGAGGAAGACGAATTTCTTATATTTGTTGTTATTGGTATATAAAAGTTATGTTGGGTAATTATCTGACGATAAATCTCCCTAGTTACTTTTATATTATCGCTTTGATGGTGCCAGACTCGTTAAGATAACTAATCGGTGGTTGCATGCATACTGGCACATCCTCCTTTCCTTTATGTAATTGTAAAACTATAGCAACGTGACTCACACTGTTCGAAAAGAAATAAAGTATACTTAGTGAAATCAGTCATACCAGAGATGTTAATATCTATATTACCTTGAGATTCATACATGATAAACAGCTCTAGGCTTGCTAAAGCTTTCTCTTTCAGGAGCATTATGCCCGCAGGAAGGAAATGAAAACTCGTGAAGACATTTGCCTCATCGTCAGTACACGTGACAGTATAGGTATAAGACGAGGTAAGTGCTTGTGTACCGAAATAGCTGTACGGATTAATAAACCATATTATATTCACATTCGGTTCGTTTTCGTGGGTGGTTGATATATCGTACATAGCTACCTTGTTTTCAATCGATAGTTTTCATTATTGTATTGGTTCTTAACTGGAAGGTGGATGTCAAAAACGTCAATACTTACAGGAGTTTTCCTATACCTACTTACGTTTATACACTAAAAATATTAACTAATGGAAAATAATACATCAATTTCTTACAACCGACTATGATAATATGAAGGACAGGAGACAGCAATACATGAGAATTTGTACACTTGACATAGATTCCACAACGTTATGTTATCATATAAGTCATGTTTTATCCACGCGCTGAGAACGTGAACACAACAATGAAATGTCAGTCGTGACATTTTCTACTATCCACGTCTGGGTCACCGATATAAGTAAGTACAGGTGTATCATGGGTTTATACGGAAGTGTATAGGGAACATAGATCCTAACATAAACTGTGCTATAGATATTTGGGTGATATCCTCATTTACAGACATAATTGTTTTCATCTTGGGATAAATAATTTAACATACCACAGTTTATCTTCATATCTGACATTCAAATAAAACGACTTGGGTACATAAATATACTTATCTTAAGAAAATTAAGAGAATTGTCCGGTTCATATGCTGTCGCTTCGGTTTTGACGCCATCTTTGTTGACAATTCTCAGCCGAGTTTGCGCATGCTCACGGGTTAAAGAGTGCAGATGTAGGTTTTACGATTAAGGTTCCCCTATTAATTAAAAAATGCATGGTAAACACGTCCATATCAGTATGTGAGCAAGACTAACTTGTCCCTTTAACTATGCCGTAAAAGTTATAGCACTTTTGTGTTTGTAATTAGCTGAAAATAACAGATGTAGTGTTTTAAAAAAAAACTGTGCGTAAAAATGGATATCTAGTAACATCTTTGCTCATTATAAACTAATAAGTCAACAGTGATGCAATTTCATGCATTATCTAAAATTTCAATTATCAAAAATAAATGCCTGGTGTAAATAAAGACCGTTTTTTTTATAATCAAAAGAGGTTACAAAGGAATCTTGACGTCGACAACCGATAATCTTTAGGAATTTCTTTGAACTCTTCCTTTTCTCTTTTAGACACAGTACTCTGTAACACTACCATATCACACCCGTTTGCCATTTTGTGTCACTGTAGCAAGCCAAAATGTCATTTTCTTGGAACAATGTTCAGTTAGAAATTAGAAATTGAATTTCGTATATAAAAATTATATCCAATTTCCTAAATTATTAAATTAAATTAATCTGATTTAATTAATAAAAATAATTCAGCAAACTAGTCCCTAAACAATCTTTATATATTCCAAGGTCAAAGGTAAAATGTAGTTACCCACAGTGACCTACTAATGCCCGACACCCCGTCTCAACACGATAAACCAGTACCCTAAATTCCTTTTTATATGTTTGTTTGTGTTTATCGCCCCGTGAACAGCCAGGGTCAATTTATGGCGGTCTTTGTAGTGGTTGGTGGCTACATCACTGAACAACATACAGGAGGCCCGTCGCATGTCATCAAGCGCAATCTGGATGAAGTGTCTTTCCCAAGACCGGTCTGTCCTCAGCTTCCTGAGAAACACAAGTAACCGGCAGTGAGCGTCGAGCCACGCATCTTGAATCTTCATCTGAGGTTACGTGGCCGACGCCCAAACCGACTGAGCTATTGCGGTAACCACCCTAAATAAGTTCCATTTACATTTACATTGGCTTCGATTCCGTATCCGCCATTTTACACGTAAACTCGAGCTCGTCCTTTATGTTTCAAGGTGTTATGTCGACACTTTTCTTCGTGTAAAATACAACTTGACTAATTATTTTTCACGACAATTCTCCGGTAACAAGTTGTGTTAAATCAATACAATCGACATTAATATAAAGCATTTTATGTCATAAGTCGACATAGCATTTATCGATAAAGTGACTATTATTACATACTTCACAATATCAATTTATCTACTTACATCTTGTATTTCAACATACTTGTCGACAACAAACTTGTTGTATATTGAGTTAAAGTATTACTATCTCAAAGACCATTTAACTTGTCTTAAGTTATGAAGATTAAACTATAATTACAGTAATATACAATCCATTATGTCAGAAAATGGAATACTAGCATTTTGCATTCCCGACATATGTTTTCTTAAGATAAGTAGATTTATGTACCCAAGTCGTTTTATTTAAATGTCAGATATGAAGATAAACTGTGGTATGTTAAATTATTTATCCCAAGATGAAAACAATAATGTCTGTAAATGAGGATATTACAAATATCTATAGTACAGTTTATGTTAGGATCTATGTTCCCTATACGCTTCCGTAGTACGCTAAGCCTGTCATTTGCTTCTTTATCAATTGGTTAGACATTCTACAAGGTCACGTTTTCTTCTATGGAATTTACAGAATATATTTTTTAAATTGTCCAATAAATTCATAACTACATCGGTTACAAACAAGGACGGCTTAGGGTCATCCTATTATCAATCAAATGATGTCATTGTGTGGTAAACATGTTACGTAATTGCGGTAAATGAAACGAAGTAAATAGAAGCCTTTCCCCACATACTACTGCATGTACAGGTTATAAAGAACGTTTCATGTAATACTACACGTCCAGGTAAAGTATGTGACTTTCTGCACGTGCAAGTTATAACTGTATATAGGTACATGTCTATATTCATGGAAGTTAATGTTTCCTACATATATAGTTTATGTACATAAATATTGAATATGAAAGTAGAAAACATGTATTTTTTACTTTTTTTAAAATTTGTGTTTGGATTATGATTATGTTGATATCTTGATGTCTTTTACACATGAATTAATATATGTAGTCGTTACATAGATGTCTTCCACCATTGGTTATAACAGAGGTTATACTATTTGTATGACTGTAGGTATATAGGTCAAAACCCTGCATATAGGTATGTTACTAAGTGTAAATAAAGAATGCTGTGTGAAATTTACATTGTAACATATTCTTTATGTCATTTCCTTGAAAAGTACAACTATATAATATGAAAGGATGATAAATGAAACAAATAAATTATGGCATAAAACATCAGGTTATGTAGAATATATTATAAAAGCATGAAAGCATTGTTTTGTGAGCAAACTGAAAGTTAGAAACGAGATAAAACATGTAACCGACATGAAAAGATATACTCTTCTTATGATTCAGACGACAAGCCGTAAAGGTAAAATAACAAAATGTTTAATCGAGAAAAGGTAACACAATACGGTATTCAAATGAAAGAAGCACTCATAGCACAAACCATTCTTCTGTGGTTAAAGGCATTATATCTAAAACAAAAACAAAGTATTTATGGAGGATGGGGGTGGGGGATGGAGGTGATATAAGCATAAAATCAAAGTACGAAAGAAAGGGATGAAGAAGAATAAGAATACAGTTAAAAGGTTTCAAGGGTATTGTGTAAATGAGTGATATCTGAGTGATCGGGCAGGTCAAAGCTGGCAGTGTTTAAAGCTTGTAGATTATACTTGGAAAACTACTTATCTTGGACTCATGCTTTAAAATGTTTATATTCAGCGCTCATTACGTGGTTTTCATCTTCAAAATCTTGAGATATTTGTTCAATACAACTGTATTGATTATAAGACAAACATTTGACATAAATTATTTTTCGTTTTAGAAATTGTAATTGAATGGATGGCTTTACTATTTATGACCAGATAGTATAATACAAGGATGACTGGTTACAAAACCCTGCATGAAAGATTAAACAGACAACACGGATCAGCTGTGCATGACGGGGAAGGGTTTCTCCTACTTTCATTTTAACTAATTGCATCAGATTGCTCAGAATACACCCAATTGCATCAGAATACCCAGGGTACAACACAACACACCAGAGATTCCACGATGCACCAGAATATATCAGATACACATAAAGTATAAGATAACAATAAATATCGAGGTTAAACAACACAACATAGAATTATATTGATACTGACGGTATCGAACACTCATGGCAAGATAATAAACACAAATAACTTGATCAGAATATCGAAAACAAATGTTTGCAAAACAAATCACCGGATCGATCGATCATATAGACATAAATACATCTTGATTATAAATAATATAGTAATATTGAAACTAGATCATAAATTTTTCATGCATCAAAAATTTAAATGTAAATCATTAGATATCAAGATTTCAAAATTTTAATTCGGTTCGAAAAATATAAATCAATTGTAATTTGTTTTATAATTGTTTTGTAAGTTTTATTTGAGATCATGATGAAGTTAAATATCTCCACGGAATGGATTCTAAAATTCCCCTCTGTTTCCGGAAGTACAGGAGGATCATTGGGATGGTTGTACTTTAATTCATAGCGTTGTTATAACATTATTATTGCTTCTTAAAATTGAAGTTAAGGTATAAGTACCAAGGTATGAAAAGTGTATCATTACAACAGATACGTATTTAGCCTGAGAAACAAAATATTTCCTTTACTATTGTGTAAAGTATACCTACACACTTTACAGGTTACTGTCTGGGTCACTGAACACGTGAAGTCAAATCGGGGTGGGCCAGTAAGTTTCCATACCATACAGAGAACCTTCACCACGTGGTAAATATCTTTGATTTCAGCGAGATGAAAATTTTAAAAAATATATACCTTTCTTTAACTCCATCTTTGAATTGTTTGTAATTATACAGTATCAATGCATTACCTTTATGTTCCTTCGTACTTACTAATTTTTGTTCTTTAAATCAGAATTCTTACTCGGCTCAAAGAGTTTTATAAATCTGTCATGAAACATTATCAATACTATTATTTTACTATTTCTTGAAGATTATTTAACACATAATCAATAGTATCCTAATCGTGATGGTTTCGACTTCATTTCCCCATTAAGATGTTTCTAGATCGAATATGAGGAAGTTGTCTGGTCGCTACCATAACGTTATCGAGAAATATGATATGAAATGACATGTCGACGATGATGAGCAAGGCGTTCAGTCTTCCGGAAAACTTGGGGTTTTTTTTTGTTCTGTAAAGTTTTCCAGTAATATTCGTTTTAATCGTTCATTTCCTCACATGTTTACGTGTTTAATAAATTTCCAGCTTGAATTACGATTTGCTTATTTGTTAGTTATCTATTCATTTTCATTATGAATTACGATTTGATGACATGTTTGTTTATCTTTTCGTTTCCAGTATTAGTTACAATTTGATGACACATTAGTTAATTTTTCAGTTTTGAGAGTAATCATTAATTTTACTAATGAAATACATAAAATAGATTCAGTTCAATAATCGTAACTCATCGTCAATACGAAAACAAAACTGAAATGATTTCGATATAACACCCTCAGGTCAACACAAAAGCTAAGTATTAGCATAATTGAAATGAAGCCAAAAACTATGGTGATAGAAACAGACATTTATTCCATAGAAATATGATGTCCGTTATTATTTAATGATGTTTTTCACTTTTTTTTTTCGTTTTTCATTTGTTTTTTTTTTCGAAATTTTAAGTGTAATTGGATAATTTAAATATAAATTGGAAATGTATCATTTTGATGAATAGGTTATGATAATCTATGTTGATATGTCGGAATGTTACGTATTACATCTGTCTAAAATCTATTTACTACACTGATGGAAAATCCCCATTAGTATGGGTATATGGTAAATTATCGCTAAACTGGCATTGTCTGCAAGCAACAATGCCAAAAGTTCCTTTTGTTTCTGTGCCGTATATTACAGGTCAATGAATCCCATGTAAACACTCGCTATGAATGGAATTCTCTGCACTATATAACCGGAATGCATTGTTCTTAAATGCATTGTTTCTTTTTAAAGTACACATATTTACTTAATTGAATAACGATTTTTTATGCGTAGATTTATTTATACCTTACTTATACCTATTATAGGAGCAGCTGGGCTGTTATCTATACAACAGAGTTAATTTGTGTGAATTAAGTTACAAATCAATCACACTAACATCTTGATTGAAACAACACCAACGTTTCGCATCGAATTTGATTCTCTTTAACAAAACGTTAATCTATTAGTTGACATTATTTTAATGGATGCTGGAAATATTCGTCTTGGTACTTTTTCAATATTAAAACAGATTTCAATAATTATTTCCGTACGTTTGGCATTAATTTTTGCAACATTCTTGACATTATTTAAACGAATTCTGAAATATGTTCTTTTTGTACGTTTTAACATTAATTTTACGGACACTAATACCTTCATTTTGAACTTTATAACGATCATCTGCTTATTTACGTGAATAATTTACATTTTAAAATCATAACTGCATTCATTTTCTATCTTATTCAAAGAGTTTGGAATCAGCGTCAACATTCTCGGTTTTAATATCATAGAATGCTTATCCCCAATAGTTCAAACATAATTGAGACCCTGGTAAGCTGCCAAAATAGCAGCGACTCCAAAACATGTATGTGAATTACTTGGGAAAGACGACATTGATATGGCATTGACATTTAATTCATAGTACACCGCTTAGCGATGTAAACATTGCCCGCTACATTCAACCAACTTGAAACCTTCTGTGGAAAATTACATTGATTTGTGTCAATATTTAAATTGTCCTGTATAAATCAAGTTGAAAGTGCAAATTGTTGTTTTAGAATTGATATCGATTTTGTTTGCTTATGATATCTTACAGTTCTGATCAATTGGAGAATGTCATAGATTTATCAGTATCAATAGGCGAAATTGAACAAAATTGATAACATTGAAGTTTAATACGTATGTTGTGTATAAACTAAACTACATAATAAACGCACTATCTATATCTACCACATGTATCACAGGAATTACATTTAAATAACAACACTAAGGCAGGAAACATGCCTCACACATCTTTCAATTAAATAATGTGTAACATATTACTATCACAAACAGGTAATATTTCTGGTAAAGGGAAATTGATGATTGCATGTCTGCTTTTAGATGCAATGTAACATATACATGAATAAACCATAACTTTAACAAGTTGTGTCGTTATATCTTAGGACAAAGAATGTTTCTACCGACGTCATATGCATAATAATGAATTAATTCATTTCAAATGTCAACAAAAAAACCCGGGAAATATTTTACCTCGAGGTGAAACATAAGAATAATTGTCATGAATTAAACTAGTTTTATTTCTGGTTAGTTTTTAAATTGTCTGTTACATTGTTGCTACTGACGTCAAATGTATAATAATAAATGTCAAAATTCTCAAAAAAGATTTTACCTCAAGGTCAAATATGATAATAATTTTCATAAGTTAAACAAGATTATTTAACCGTTTTAAAGTCAAGACTAAGATTCCTTGGGATGTTTGACCTTGAATCCATTGTTGTCATAATTTTCCAGTCATTTAAGTTTTGTCAGAATAAGGCACGACCTGCGAGATTAAATCGTAGTATGTTTATCTAAGACACGTGCTATATACGTGCATTTTAATACCAATAGGATACATGTGCTTCTACATGCATACAAACACTGTATTGTAAAGTGAACTGAAATAAAATTTTTACACTTGGATTTATTAGTAAAAAAAGGACCGTCTCCTACACTTATAACTCACTAAAGTGAAACTTCAACTTTCAAAATGACCGTCATATTCCCTGATGACCACAAAAATTAAATGTTCTGATAACTGCTGAATGCTAAATCATAGATTTAAGTTGCTTTACACTGCTCTTATGCAAGGATCTGACTTCGTGCATTTTCTCCTGAGTGCCGATAGATCCAGATCTCATAGTCACCTTCATCACTTAGGTGCTAACTTATGAAGACAGCTGCCAATGATTTTTGGTATGTGCCACAGGCTATTGTCCGAAGGTATTCAGTATCTAACTTTGGAAAGCCATAGCTATTCGCAGCATCTAGTTCGACAAATAGTGACTTGGACCTTCTAGTAAGATCTAGCTCATTTTTCACATGTTGAGCTACATTTTTGTAACACTAAGGCGCGCTTTCATTTTGGCAGACCGCCTAACCTTTGCGTCTCGCTCTTGTGTTCTAACATATATGGGTCCTCAAATTCCGTTGAGACAGGCCGTTACTATTCTAACGATTGCCTCGATGACATCAATGAAACAGTTGGAGGCAAGTTTTTAAAAAAAAAACAGCCATTACAGATTCGTCTGTGATTTGACTCCAACACACATCTGAGTCTAGTTATGGATCTATCAAGGTTAGCTTGTAGGTCGCCATGTTGAGTCTGCCCAGGTTTAAGACAAGACGGCATATTTGTTGTAAAATCAAGTGATTCCAAATTTGGAAAAACATCCCTAAACCCTCGATCAACAACCACATTGTCATCTTTCTCCAGCCAAGAGAGACTATCCATGATGGCTTTTGTAATCTTCGCATCATTATCGCTTCCAGAAAAAGGTCCAACTGTATCCAGAATGAAACCATCAGGCAGGGCTATGCTCATAGTTCCGCTTCTCCTGTCCACAGTAGGAAATTCTCTGGAGCCTGTCATCGGAAATATTAGGATTAAAGCTATATGTACAGTCAAGTATGACAGTTACCGCTTGCCAAAACTGCTTCTGAGAACACAGTGTTGTGCTCCAGAATATTTTCTCTTGTAAGATGATCAAGTCCAAGGAACAAAGGAACAATGGTTATTTGATGTTTTAATGTGGCATGAAATGTTTATGATTTACTGTAAACTGACATTTTAAAAAGAGTTGAACAAACAATAGTATATCCTCGTGGTTTAAAGTGTAAATAGAAGTGGCAATAGAGGATGAACAATAAGATAGAAAGAACTTTTAGAAACTTTGTTTTTGTCCAACCAGTCCAAGCTTTACAATCTGCATCATCCAGAGAGGAGCAAACACTTTAAGCTGATCTCTATAGGAAATTAGCATTGTTTGATACCTCACCTTTGTATTGGAAACTTCTCTTGACTTGTGTCCTTTGTAAATTTCTTTAAATTATTAACATATTGATAATAATAGTATTTTCATACTTTTTGCTGAAATCAAAATAGTGAAGCAATGAAACTGAAATGTAAAACACAAAATACAACAATCATGAATCAACTATACTGTTGCTGTTATCCAGTCCAGAAAGTCTTACTTGATTGATAATAGGTAATGAATAATTATATGTTAATAGATACCAGCAATTAAACTTTATAGACCACGTCTAAATAAAACCACACGAAAAATGCTCATTATGCCGAGAGCGCATTGTGTATCGTCCATATGTTAATGTAAGGAACGACAAATCTGTCACAGATAAATCAATGCTGTTTTTTCGATGACTCCAATTTTCACGAGGTTTTCATCAACTTGACTCCGATGGGCCCTATTTTTCTGACAAACTAAACGACATTAAAAGCTATCTCGATAATGGAATTCTCAACGCTTTTATTTTTAACAATTCTATGGCATCTCCGACAACAGAACACATCAAGATCAATCCTTACCCAAAATTTATGCAGTTTGTGCTATTACACTGACAATAGGTAATGAGTTAGTGTTCGAGGTTATTTCTGACTTCCACACGATAGAGTCTTCTAACATAGTCGCTCGCTTCGATATATTCCGACAATGAAGCCAACATGGATAATCTTTATGAATAGCGTTATGACTTCAATTTCTCTATCGTGATTTTTCGCTTTCTGGATGGCAACACATCTCCTTCCCCAACGTGTCGCAGTTGATTTTATATTCTGGGGCCTGTTCCCAATATATCTTTTCTTTCAAAATGTCAGCAATAAATTCACGGACAAAGTTTTCGAGAGAATTGATGGTTTTCATTGGGAAGCTCAACGTTGGTCATAACGATATCATCAAGCAATGTCCTTCCTCTTTGTGCGATATGAAGCTGAACGTGATATTCGTTAACATACCTGTTGGTTCCGCTGTTGTTTATTTTGTTCTCATTTGGGAATGTGACACTGCTTACTTGATTTTTTACATGGTAGGTGTCGTAACGACGCTTATCTGGTCTTACTCGTTTTATGCTTTTAAGAAGTTTCCATATAAAGCTTTCTTTTGGTTATATTTGCCTAGTTTCAACGGGTTTTGGCCTTTGAGTTTGCAGGAAGATTCAGTTTCTATGTCGATATTTTCTTTGGTGATTTTACAGTCATTAAGGGAGTGGAACCAAGTATTCGCAGTGTATTGTTTTTACATTTATTTGAAAATATGGAGTTTGAGAGAGTTATGTTATGTTTGCTCAGGTTTGTTTGAATAAGTGCAAATCAATGACAGCAACACAAAATGTTTAAAGATACTACAAAATATATTTTATATACTAATATTGTATGAAAATCACAAACAATGGAAGTGAAATGATTAATGAGAAAAAGATAATTAAAGACCAGACGAGACTTTTCAAAAGTGACAAATGACAAAGGCGATTAGTTCATTAGAGTACAGGTGTACCAACAGAGAAGCATACTCATCGTTTGAGGTACAAATGTACTGAATTCGGCAAATTTATCAGAGTTATCAAAATATTCACATAAAACGTGCTTATACAATTCGCAATGTTCTTTTATTACTTGGTTTATCGTAATGATGACAGGACATAAAATAGTAGAGAAAGAAGGGCCCAATATTAGACCTGACATTTAGCACGTTTATATATACTGATACGCATTAACCTTGAAGGGCCTATAGACAATTTGATGGGCCTACCGACATTTTACTGGACCTACCGACATTTTGAAGGGCCTACAGACAACACGCACGTTCCAATTGCATGAACAAAATTTCTTTCAAATCTTCGATATAATTTACATATGATAAGTGTTACCTATAATATACAACACATGTCTCTGAACAAAACGGACTCCTCTCTCCAATAAAACATGATACATGGCTATTTATATCATAGAAGGTGAGTCTTTGTCATTAACAGAACGTGCATGCGGAAAATTCATGGAAAATCCCAATACACTTGTTCTACTTACATTTCTTGAGGTGGTTTAGTCCCGTCACGAGGGTTGCCTACGCATTCTTGTTGTGGTACCAAGAGAACTCTATTTATAATGTATCATAAGTGAATACTGGCATTTTTTTAATCTATGATTTAAAGCAGGACAAATGAATGTACAGAGAACCCCCGAAAGGGGTTTCTCTATTTTTCTTTCGATTATTCTTCTATCTACCGTCAGAATGAGTTAGATAGATTAGAAGTTTTTTATAACACAACAGGGAGAAAATTTAAGTGTGATGTTTCGATGATAACATTGTCACCTTCATCATTTATCTAATAGAGATGATAGTGTTATCCTCGAAACGTCAAACTTACACCTTTTACTATAAGAAATTCTAATCTATTAACGCTACCGGATGAAAATGTTCCGAAATCTCACATGGCATTTTCAAAGAGAACAATTTATCAGTCCCCAAGATGTTTCTTGTGGTATATTTATTTACATTGTCTATTTAGTAAAATGTTTTTCAAATATTATCTTTCCAGTTGACATTTGTGTTGAAGATTAAATAGGCTCTTCCTATATGGAGACATGCAATTTCGTAAGGCAATAGCGAGACTCAGTCGAGAATATGCAGCTAACGTATGGAAATAAGGATAGCACATTTAGAGAAAATGTTCCGCAGACGAGCTACTAAAGTACTACCAGTTCTGAAAACGTTACCATACCGAGAGCGTTAAGAAATAGAAAGGATCCCAACCCTTGCATAACCGTGATTAAGAAGCGACGTCATCAATGATTTGAAATAATGAATAACCGACATAAAAGGAACATAACAAAAGGAATCTTTGAGTTTGAAGACCATTATGGGGATATTTAATTGACGTAAAAAAGATTTCAATGGGAAATATACAATTTCTTTTGTGATATGATGTTGGATGTGTTTGATGCTCGTGAATATAACTGTTAGTTCCGTTGTTGTATACATTATTCTCATTTGAAAACGTGACATTCCCCACTTGGACTAACCAAGGTTTACATAGTGGGCTTCGCAGATGAAGCAGATGGCGCTTTCCCTTCCGAAACATCTGGTCTTATTTTCCTGATATTTTTCTGGAGTCTCCGTTAAAATATTTCTTTTGTTCATATTTTGGCCAAGACAACATACACAGAAAATCGTGAAAAAACATTTACCTGTAGGGTTATCGAAATCTGGAACAGTCTCGCCAAATATTTCATTATATTGCCAACATTTCAAGCTTTTGAAATTAAGCTTGACACCCTTTTTGGAAATCTAAGGAAGAGATATCAAGAAATAACAATAAAGAATACATTCTAAATTGTTAAGAATAAGTTTAGATATTGCCATAGAAACAGAGTATCTGCTTACGTCTATTTTGTAAGCTACTGTATCCTATTGTTAGATGTCGTATAAAGGTTCGAGAAACCTCGGGGGCTAATGTCAACCAGCAAAGTCCACCACACGTAATATAGCGATATAAAAGACATACAAGAGATGAACACATCGAACATACACTCTTCAACCAGGAACACCAATACCAATAAGAGAAGCACGACAGAGTTATGCCCCCTGTATGAATATACATATATAGACGAGAGTACATGAAAACACTGATTTATAAGTAGATGTCCAATGTTTCCATGATTAAAACTCCTGACGGGATATCATCATAATGGGGTTACAATAATGGTGAAAGTACATTTTTGACCTACATTTATGTCATTGATATACTGTATTACTGTTTCTGACAATATCGCTCAAAAAAGGAATATATATATTACATATGTAGGAGAGATACACATAACGACCTGTCACTTCTCATTACAATAGCATCATATTCACTTATATACAGTATTATAAATATGATATCATTGATACGAGAATATCATAAGTGCAAATCAAGCCAATTTCCAGCGGCAAATTTTAATTAGCAAGTATTAAATAAATATATCATCATTTATTCAAATTTTATATATTGATGTGTTTTCTCCATACATTCTATGTATTTATTCTTTAAAAACCAACCAATGTTTTCATGTTATTAAGTGCACAATCTATTGGTTATAGACTATTAAGATCTCCACCTTGGCTTTATTTTCTGGCATATGAATGTATTGGTCGATCATTTCTGTCGTTACAGACTTGTCCCAATGTCTTGACAACGTGCTGCAATGGTACAGGTATACTAGTGTAAGCAACTGTTGGGTTTAAGTATGTATATATCTATCTTTAACTTTTATTATTTTTTCTTGTCTGAAATGATTTTTTTTTATTGTTTCAATGCCTAATGACAAATCATGTCTGTGTGTGATAACGCTATAGTATTCTATTTTCATCTTATTTATTTACAAGCGAGCGGTTTATGTTATTTCATGTAAAAGATTTTATTATGAACCACAGAGTATAATAACGTCTGTTCAAATAACAATTAAACATCTGTTGTAGCCAAACGATGTAAAAGTTACTATATAGTATGTATCTGTCATGCCTTGCTGCGTGTCTATGCAGGTTTTGGAGAATGTCTGAAATAAATATTTTTTTGTTTATTAATATTACAATATTACATAACCACGCGACCAATATCATATTTGACCGCGTGGCTTTGTGATTTATTTTCTTTTTATAGCTTACTGAATCTCGATTTTGTATACTTGAATATTTTCTTTAAAAATTAAAATTTTCGTTCGGAAATCAAATTTCTATCTTAACTCATTCTGGGAAAGTTTCATGGTCGTCGAAGCGATTTCATTCAGAAATATTCTATTTCTTTGTGCGATATGAAGCTGGACGTATTTGATGCTCGTCAGTTTGCCTGTTGGTTCCGTTGTTGTATACCTTGTTCTCATTTGAAAACATTACATTACTTACTTGGATTGACCAAGGTTTGCATTGTGGGTGTTGCCGATGAAGCTGAAGACGCTTACTCTTCTGGAACATCTGGTCTTATTCTCCTTGTACTTTTTCTCGAATCTCCGTGTAAATATGTTCATATTTTGCCCTAGGTTTATGAAATTTGAGTTTGAATAATGATTGTGTTGCCCTGTTGGTATCTTCTTGGTGTATCGTATCGTTATGAACAATCAGCCTGATGTGTATAAACCTTTACCGAGAGGCTATTCCAGCACACTTGTAATAAAAATAAATTTTAGTCACATAATGAATGAGTAAGAAAGAAGATGTAAATACCTATCTATATACAAACACAAAATTTATAACGATTAAAAAACATCAAGAAAAATAAATACCAATATATCAGCAATGTAATTAAAATCCAGCCTCAAATTCCATAAAACTATATTTACGTATAACAACAACCTGAGGGAATAGAAACAAGACTGAGCTGCATGACGCGAAGTCATTTCTTAATATTTATACCAGTAATCAGTCGATAAGACTTGAATATATAATAGGTTAATTGTTGTCGGATACAATATCGGACATGGGAAAGTAAACTACAATGATACCTGGTATAATCATTAACATAAATATTGCGTCAAGTTTATTTTTGTAAAATGGCAAAACCGATATGATAAGCGAGAATAATCTCGCCGTTTAACCATGTCGATTGAATTCACTGATTATTCTTATTATCATAGTTTTGTTTTACTTATTTTTTACCAAAGTTTGAGATGAAAGGATGTACAGTTTATAGTGAAAATGAGCAACTGTGATAGAACTACATATCGGAAATAAAATACACACTGTAACAAACTTATATAATTTTATTGGCAAATAAATAAACTTTGCAAAGAAGTATATAAGCAAACCTACAAACAAATATCACAACACATTTAAACTTTTCCAATTCAATTATGTAATAATAATAGTCCTGTATCATGATCGATGAATGATTTTATCGACAGGAAATGTACACTTTTTCTTCTGTTGTTGAATGTGTTAATCTTTGTGTTAAAAAGAGTATATTTTCGTAAGTTTTCTTGGAGTAGATATTCATCCTGAACAATATATCGCCCTGATATGTTACCGTCAGGTTAATCATGAATTCCATCCATGATGTTTTTTTGTATAAAAAAAAAGGCTGGAAAAAGCTCCATAACCTTGAAAATTGTTAATAGCAATATACTTTTCATTTATGTTACTTGCACCAATACCAGATTTCCGTTTTAACCAAAAACTCTGGTTTGGAGTTGTACTAATTAATGCTTCAATGTAACAGATGTTATACAGCACCACAATATAGAGGTACATAGATGGACATTATGCAGCACCAAAATAAATTTGTAAAGTTGACGAATGTTTCATAGTTCAACAGTAAAAAAGGCCTTCATTCACAACTGAAAAGACCACACATATACACGAATGTGACGTCATTTCAACACACAATACATACATTTTGTTACAGTCAGGATACTTTCAAATCACTGTCTCATATAGTACTTCTACATGTTGAAGTTAGAGATGGCAGTGTCTCCTAAAGCTGATAGGTCACGTATTTACATCCTTACACATCCAGGCAAGTGTATGACGATTAAGATATAAAAAATACCCATGGCGCTTTGATAGTAAAGTTGGTTACAGGCACCGATGTTATTCCTCCATTTTTCATTTCTTTGTTTTAATTTTGATTGTCTTCCTTCCAAGGGAAATAACTCTGTTTCACTGTTGTCCATATGCTTTCATATATCCCGATTTATCGGTTTTTGTATATTCTGACCTTTGTTGCTTCTTTTTGTCAAAGATCGACGCTGGTCTTCCACCTGATTCAGCAAATAAAAAAGAGTAAAAGGTGAGAATGGATATATTAAGGGAAATTTTTTTTTACACAATACTGCCATTTTCTTATCTTACGTTACTGATATATTCGTTATTAATTCTCCAACAGTTCGGTGCAATTCAAACATACACACAGTTTGTTTTACAAACTTTCAAGAAATGTCCCCGTTTATTTCAAGCAATTAAAGTATCTCCACTAATTGTTTTTGTTCCAAGGATTATCTAGATGTCTCTGTCCCTATTTATTTTAGGAAGTACTTACAAATCGTTTCAACGCTCTTTTCGTAGATTTCCTAAATTTCCTTGTCTTTATTCTCAAAATAAACCTGTTTATTTTAGATAAAAACTAGCACCTCGTTTCATTTTCTTTCCTTGAATAATCAAATTTTATTTTCATGACAGAATTTACTAGTGCTATTTATTATATAGAGTATTTTTCATTCCTATGGATACGACTCCAACATTAAAAGTACCGTGGTTACTATCCTGTAACACAGATACCTCCCATTCTGTGGTAAATGTAGCATTGGTACGTAGAAATGAATAACAAACTATTTATCAACGGAGAGATCCTATCGAAAAAAAATTACATCATGGAATCACAAAAACATAGTTGTCTCAATTTGGCCTACTTCAAACCAAAGTGGTCCCGCTGTAAAATGTAATAATCAAACATAGGAATCCGTATCAGTGATGTATGTCGATATAAATAGCATGCCCCCGATAAGTTACCTGTTACAGCGGACTGGGGCAATTCCTTCTCAAGCACTTTGTATGTCTTGGGTTGCACATCGCGGAAAGCGCTTCCTTCTTCTTCCGGTTCCGGTTGAGGTTGAGGTTGAGATTTAACTGCCACGCCTCCCCTGTTCCGGTTACAAAGATGTAGTATTACTTAGCATAAATGTTATATTTGTCATGTTAGCAATTAGAACAGTAAAGAAAAAAAAATACTTTGTCCAACTTTTCATCTAAATGACTCGCCTGAAACAGCTGACCAGGAATTTTACCCGAAGAATGATTTATCACTTGACTAGCCTGTTTATGTCCATGTCCAAATTTGTCCTGACAGACTTACGTCCCATAACATTGTCGTGATGTCATAATAAGCAGTGCTGTCACATGGTTTCTCGACACAACAAAACGTTGTATCCGAAACTTGCCTAAAGGATAAAAGAATAAGTTTTTTCGTTTTTTCGAACAAAAACTAATTACGTGAAAAATATCATGACTCTGCACTTTCATAATCATATGAAAATAAATAAAATTTGCAAAACAATTTCATTTGATTTTGGTCTTATATATTATGGCATACAAACGTACATAGTCATAAGTAAGAGTGACAACCAGTATATGAAACGTTATAAAAACAACACAGAAAATACTGATATGTCAAAATCGATGAAACTTTGGGGAAATACGCACAAAATAAAGAATTACTAATTTGACCGGTCACATGATCTAGCGAACAACAGTAAGAACCAGCAGTTGCGCATGTGTTACTTTGTCTCTGTCCTACGCTGAAATCACAGCCTTCTTCACCTAACGCGGACGCTCAACAGTAATGCCGAAAGCGAGGTGTTGTAAAGGTGAGCAAATTCAAAATAAATTTTCCTATTTTATACAACAAATATGATTCTATCATCATTGAAGAGTCTCATTCTGTAGATATTATATTACGATATAAATTTTACATTCGAAGGCGGTTTCCTTTTCTCGTTTCCTTTCTCAGACAGTTACTTAGATACTAAGATATGTTTTGTGTGTAAATTTATTGTTTGCAGATAATTTAGGTTGAGTGACGTCTGAATGAACCTAGTTATCTTTATGGTAACATCAGCAGTGCCATACCTAGAGCCGTGGGTACAATGTTAGTTATCACAACTAATTGTACAAAGGACATACAAGAGAATAGCACCTGTTAATACAAGGTTAGAGTGTGATACACTGTAGCCAAATGTTACCTCTCAAGTCTCTCTGATACAGATACAACCAATAACAGCTCTAAAAATTATATCACCCAGTACAGGCTAACAAAACAGCCTATAGCTGAAAGTTAACTAAAACAGCATTGAAATTGGGTCATTTTCCCACATTTAACACCAAACAATAGATCATGCCGTGTCAAACAATTGTTTCGTCCTTCAAGGATTCGTCATTGATGCTAAGAATCTAAGAGACGACTGAAGAAATTCTAAATTGATCGAAATATATTTCGATGTAAAGTTGGTGCACTATCTTCAAAGAACTGTTACTATCGAAACAAACTTGACATTTTGTCCCTTACCTCTGTACAGTGAGATCGACGTCATTTCCGCTACGGATCATTTCGTCACGTGCCTGTTGATGGCTCGATCCAGTGACGTTCATACTTCCTATGGCAAGGATAAGGTCACCGTTTTGTAGACCAGCCTGACCTGACACACTCTTGGGATTTACCTGAACGAGAAACAGAATATATGACGAGATGCCCTTAAGCCGTTACGTACTGAGCAGACGACAGCATGAAGACATTAAAAACCGGATGTGAATATATCCAAGGAGGCCGTTTCCTTGACCACATATACCAATCATTACCATACAAACAGTCACCCTCCTTCGATGATCGGTGGTAATGACGTCATGTTTACCAATATAGATATGTAAATTATATATGATACTCATTAACAAACACGTAATTATAAATTAGGTTTGAATCATTCAGTGATATAAGTCAATCTTACCATACACAAAGAAACGACGTGAAGGTGGCTGGTTTCCCCCAGATACACTCTACGTAGGTACAGATGTAAGGGTGGTCGGTTTTGACTGAGTGATTCAGCTAAATGCCGATAAAGTGTCTATTTCTAAATCTATACCTAAACATATAGGCTCTTATCACCAGGGCGCCTGCAATTAATTTTAAGGGGCGCTTGGAGGAAGGAATGATTTTTTTCCTAATGTTAGTTATTGAATATGATTTGATTACAACAAATGGGTAATCCTCCTCTGTAACTCACTCCCTCAAAATAAATAGATAAATAAAAAGGAAATCCAAAACATCTTAAAATGATATTTGACGAGGTCTATCTTTGATTTGCCACAGTGAGCTTAATGCATGCTTCGTTAATAAATGTTTCCTTTTTTGATAACGAAACCAATTTTAGATCTAAATATGTAAGAAAGATATCAAAGAAAATTTTAAAAAATCATAAAGTAAAACCATGACAAAAAATATTTATACATTTCTTTAAATCCTTTGTTTAAGCCGGTGTTACAACATACTGTCTGCAATACCCTATAAAAGCCCCTGAAATGTTTATGATGGAATATTGCTCATCCTCCAACTATTTCCTCAAAAGACGAGTTCAATGCACTGGGGCAGTTTATCTTCAATTTCAGCATTTTAAAATCTCAAAACCTAATCAGCTTAACTTGTCTACGAGTTCATTTCTTAAATCATTACACGTACAGTGGTTGATGAAATAATACAAACATGTAATTGAATATACATCCGGGGATTTGGAATTCGTATTTTTTTATGTTCAAGATAACATTTCATTAATGATTTATGATTCCTCGAGTTCGGAGTGTAAGATAACCAGCTACCTTGACGGAAGACGTGTGGTTCATGCTGAGAAGCAGGACTTCGTGAAGGCAAGCAGAATAGCAACAAGGTTAATTCTTTTGAATAGGGAATATGGTAGTTATGGTCGCCTCTGAACGGTACGTATATCTATTACTGCTAAAATAATAATAGAGACAATAATGTATATTAACCTTATATACATGAAACTATGCTATATACCTCATTTTTATAAACATGTGTTAGCTAATTTCTTTAAGTAGTAATCATTTATCCAAATGATAGTTTCGGATATGTTACAATGTGTTAGACACGAAAAACTGACGATCCTATGAAACACTTATACATAAGATATATGGTAAGGTGTTCTTGTCTACTTTCAGCTATCAGAACACCCTTAACTGTCTGCTATGTAATCATCTAACAAATCTATTATGGAAATAAGAAATTCAACCAAGATACAAGTCGTAAGAAAACTGATTTAATGTTGTAAGACATTTTACGAGATACTTAAAGATTCCAAACAGTGAATGGTTTTTTTCATTCAGTTATATTTTTAAATATTGCCGGAAATTATGTAACTTTAAATCAACTCTTGACAATTTATAGAAAAAAAAAACTTTCTTAATTGAAAATCCCTAACCGATTTGTCGAACGCCATGGTATAACTTTGCTAGAGTGAATAAGATAATTTTTTATCTGTTTGTTAGGTTAATATAAGAAGATATCTGTTCATACAAGATAGAATATCGAGATTTTCCCAATATTGTTATTTCATACAATGTGTCTTGATACTTTTATCCAATTTGATTCACCGCGGGGTATGATAGTACTACATATTCCTCAGGCAGATTTCGTAAGTGATCAATCTATGTCAATATTGCCTTAAGTATATTCTGGTTAATGTAATAAATATTTTATTTTTACTAATTATCAGTCTCAATACAGATGATTATCGTGTCTGTAGTCGATATATTTATCACGTTTGGTTTGTTCTCTCTAGTTTGTTCCCAATACTTTCTTCAATTAACACATAAAGAGACTACTTAGCTTCCTAATAATAAATTGTGTACAATAAAGGTGTGTGTGTTAGTCAACATACTGATGGTTAAGTATCGGGATTCATTGTTTCTACTCACATCATAATGAAAACTAAATCGAAGCGTTCCTATAAATAGGATTATGATTTCTAATATCGATTTCATAGTTTAATCCAAATGGCATTATTTTATATAAAATGCACGTAACCAGAACGGTGAGACGATACCCAGACACAGGAGGGGACACGGAGACGGTAAACCTGTCAGACAACCAACCAAAGTGATATATATCAAGTCAGGATGGCCGAGCGGTCTAAGGCGCCAGACTCAAGGCTAAGCCTTCTCGCTGAGCGGGACGAGGGTTCTGGTCCACGAATGTGGGCGTGGGTTCGAATCCCACTTCTGACACTATAATTTTTGTGTTTTTTTAATTGTCAATGAACAGTAGAATCTTTCACTTAGCATTTACTTGTCCCTTTATATTTGACATGTATTCATTCATTTAATTTTATTTAAAAGAGTTTATGGTATAACTAGTTCGCAACATATTTTTAAACTTTTGCTGAAATGAAATTTAGTCTGAATCAGCTATTAGTGTATTTTCAGAATACTAACAGCATTCAGACCAGATGATGTTGAAATACCAGAATTGATATACTGCAGTGTTCAAAGGGAGATAACTCAAAGATAAGTATGTGCCCATGCTGAGCTATATTAGGCAAATGTAATCCGATCGCGGAGGCGTGTGATCAGTAGGAAGCGGAACTTTATCTACGGTATGTGTGTAAATAATAGTGTAGTAACGCATGTACATAAGCATGTGCAGGCTACAACATCTGAAGTCAGGTTGGCCTCAAGTGTGAACCCGATAGCTCTTAAATATTCTTTGTTTTTTGAGGGGAGACGCCCTGAAATTTATGACCTGATTCTTCAACATTACACGTCTGTGTATCGTCTGAGGTATTTAACACATAACTGTAAATACCACACGTATTCGAAGAATTTCTCTTGACTTGTGAGAGATGATGTAAACAAGGGTCGATTTGGTTTTCATATTAACGTAATGCCATGAAGAAACCACAAACACACTATTGATGTAGCTACTAGCGGTACAAACCTTATAGAAATAGCGGAAATTAACGTTAATGAATTACTGTTTACATCAGAAATATAGGCAGTTCCGGCCATATTAAATGGAATATTTGAGATTTTTGGGGGTACTGGGAAATGTGTTCTACCTTTAAAAGGATACACGTAAACAGTCGGTTCGTGTTACCACAGTTTACACACTCACAAGCCAAAATATACCATGATTTTTATCAAATTAAGTGCCATAATGTTTTAAAGATAAGTCTGTTAGAGAAGATTTCATCAATCATATTGGTGTAAGCAACTTGTCGTTAATCTTACACTACTACAGAGTATAGAGTTTATGTACTACAATTAACATGAATCAACGATAATTTGAAAACCGATTAAAACCGATTATCTCGCTATAACAGACTGTAAAAAATATCAATTCCATAATCACATTTCTTTATCTATGTATTCGAAAATTATATCTCGTTTAAAAAAATACAGATTTTTTTATGTAAATTGACAGTAGTATTTGATAAACTGGTACAAAAACTGATTATCATGGTACACAAATTGTGTTTTATGACAACATATTGATAACCTTTTATCAGTAAAACTGTTTTTTATCGTTAATTGGGTATTTTGTACTTAGTGACAGCGGGTACATATGGACCGAGAGGAGTGGAGACGATGAACGCCTTATTTTAGGATCTTAAACTCAAGTATAACGGTTCACTTATATACATATATTTAATTATTGAAGAAAGTATAGATGTACTTTAAAGTGTCAGGTAACCATATTGTAGTTTATACATATTAGGAACAATCATACACGGAAATGCGTCATTTACAACACTATTTCGCTGCCTGGTCTTTTTGATGACAAGATTACCGGCATACTCAAAACATTGAAACATAAATAAAGATAAGTTCACCTGTACAGGTGAAAAGAAAAACAAACCTGTGCTACATGAATTGGACAACCTGTGTCCACTCCACCTTGCATCTTGAAACCCCATGGTTGACTCGTGTCGAATCTTCTAAGCTGAATCAAAATCCTGTCCGCCATTTTGCCACCAATTCTATATGATTCTAATAATAAGGAAAACGCTGGAATGTAAACAGGGGTTTGAGGATCTCGCTGGGCAGACTGCAATGCCGTGGTGTATGTACGAACTATATACCTACAGAAGAACAGACCTACACACAAGCCTTTGTATACCCCCGGGGGCCTTTCACTCAAAGTGTCGTTACCTTTACAATAGAAATTCTACAACATCGGTGGAACAGTTTTCCCGTATAGAACCTCTTTCGTGCTAAAATAACACACTACCTAATATTTTGAAAGATAGCAAGAAATTTTGTGTGTCAAAGTGTCTCAATTAATTTTCTATTTGTATTTGTACTTTTTCATTAAGCTAACTAATCATGACATACCTTACTATTCATGTACTTAGTATGTCAGAATCCGCGACATATCTGCTTCATTCGTCACACTTACACCCCACAATGCACTCGACTTCGTCACCGGAGGTACTCTTTCCTCTGACGCGAAAGATTAATATTTGTAAGCATCCGAATATCTAAAAATATTAACTTGTTAGACTGGTTTATTCCAAATTCAGCTGTACTCGGATAATTATATTGTTTAATGAAGGCCTATTGACTTCTGCCTGTTTTTTTTTTTACGTTGATACAAACTAATAAAAAGTAAACGTTTCGTTATTGAACGTATCCATCATGTCGGATAGGGGTATTACATTTTCTGGGCATTGAAAGGATGACACAGAGGATATGAACAAGCTAGAAATGATATATTATATACCTAGACAAGAATGTCTCCTCTCGTTCAAACCTCGACCTTTTGACCATACAATGAATCTAAAGTGTTTCTTTGGTCCGAAATGTGACAGCTACCACAAGACGACTACAACATACCCAGTTTTTTTTAGTTTCGATCTTTTTGTAAACATATACATCACCAGTTCAAATCCTGAAAATGACGGAATGGTACTGAATGTTACCAAACTGATAACAGCGATTAAGGCGAAAACTTGAGGTGATATTCGACATTACAAAATTATGTACAAAGTTACTGCTTACATGTGGCATGAAGTGTGTTACCGTTACACAAGTAGTTGTAATATATATTTAAAGTTATACAGTTATATCCAGGGCACCTTTATATACAAATTTACAATCAGTACACTCCAATGGCGAATTATACAGACTATAAAGCTGTTTCGTCCTTCTAGCACTCGTCAGTGATGCGAGAGGCTTAACTTATTGAAACTTAAGAGGCGCTAGAGGAAAATCCAAATTCGATCGAGAGATCAAATATGCGGTCAAACGTAAGCAAGTGATTTAAAGAGAGAAGTTTTTCTGGACACGAGAAACACGGGCCTGGATTCGAGTTATCAGAGTTCGAGATAAACGAATTCGAAGTTTAAATATGGTTGTAATATGCTGATTCCTGAATAAATGGACATTCATAGTTAAAATCCAACATGTGATAAACTGCGATATACAAATACACTATTATATATATATAGTGAAAACATCTGAACATCTGAAGAAGAAATGAAAGCGCTTATGTTTTACAGCTCATCGTGTTTTCCAGTTTTTTAAGTATATATATATATATATATTTGTTGCTCTGTGTTGGTTTTTATTTCACCAGTACAGAATCAGTAGGTATATTATCAAATCAAAACGTCGACGCTAAATGAGAAACGTTACTACAGTAACTGACATAGTGACAGTATGATATAGACATCAGTAGTAGGTAGTAAACTGGTACCCTCCGAACGTGTACTAGCTACTGCTGGTCTCTATATTAAGTTGACAAGGCAGACTAAGTTTATTGTCCTTTGTTATCGCTGTTTATAATTATACCACGGTTAATCATCACATGATTACATGTACACTGTGATATCAAGTGATTCATAACGAAGTCATGCCCTATACTGCTAGTGCCTTCACGGGCACGTCAGAGAGGCCTTTGTCACATTCAATATAATTGTAATATTTCACAACGATCATAACGTGTTGCTCTTAATCGTTATATATCCGACCGTAGTTTGTTTATATCTTCTGCTTTATCGTTACCAAAATAATAACAATAATGGTATTTTCCCTTCAGGAATCATAGTACAAGTAACTCCGGAAAATTAATTTTGTTTGCTGTCGTCTCTTTACAGCAGTACCAGACGGTTAATGTGTAATAACGAGACGATAATTGCTACAGGGATCGTTGTATGTGACGTCACGATGCTCTTACTAGCCATTTTCTTCTGGTGGTAATGTCAATAGAATATGGGCTCCTGTACGTTCTTATGACTGGATACGCCGCAGAGGTTCAGTACTAAACGGAGATGAAGGGTTGGGTTGGATTGGGTTGAGGGGGGGGGGGGAGGGGAGGTGTTACAGACTTTCACACATCTATGTCTTAGATCAAGTATTAAACGTTTAGATATCAGCGTTTAGCAGTATGCTTTATTATGAATTAGGACGGTTTCCTTTGGAATTTTTGAGGAAATAAAATAAAAAGATTAAATACTGGTTTAAATATAGATTTCTGATAACTGTATTGTATCCAAATCATATAATTCTTTGTTAAACCTGTGTAACAGAAATGCTTTCAATGGGGTCATTTCTGTCCAGGAAGAATTAGATAATTTAGGTTTTTGTATTATATATGGATAAATCCTACTAGTACCACTTGACCAAACTTAATTTTATTGAAGATAAGAGCAAAGAATATTGGATCATGTAGAGCAATTAATGAAGACTTTCGAGCTCATTTTATTAAGTTATATTATTGGAGAAAACCTTCAGTCTTTAAGTTATTTGAATTACTGAGTATCCACAATGTTAAAGAACTTTGTATGTTAGGTATTTCTATTGATGAAGATAATAAATTGTGAAATCCCTAATTATATATAGAGTCTATAACAATAGTCTTCTTCTCTTCATTGCATCATGTAATGTATATGTGATATGCACTGACGGGCCTAAGGCCTAAAGATGTAATAAAACATGAAACTTTAAACAAGTGATAGCCAAATTGACATTGTAACCATCTTGTGTGTGTGTGTTTTTTTTTTTTTTTTTTTTTTTATTTTTAGTTTTTTTATAATCGGTTTAGCATTATGTAATGATATTTTCGTCCTTCGTGTACATAGGATTATAGTACAGCCGAAAAAGTTGTTCAATTCCATCTCGGACACTACGTACGTCAGTTCTAGTACGACCCCCACTGGTCATTTGCCTGATGATGACCGTGTAGTCATAGAACGCCACACTCTAACCTTCTACTCATTGTGATATAAGTACTACTATTCCACGGATTCTACTGCTCTCTTACTAGCTTATATCATGTTTCGGCTGTTCCCTTTATTGGATTTTTTTCCGTAAGGTAAAATCGAAATAATTGTTAAGATACCTTTAATGCAAATGTTCCATAAAAATGTAGAATTGGTCAGTAGTTCACGCGCAATTTCATTTCTAAGTGATCGTCTTTTGTTACAGAAGACAAAAATAGAATATTGCCGTTTCAACAGATTCTAAATTCAATGACAAAGTTGATAAAACTAGGGCAACATATGAACAAAAGAAATATTGACACGGAGACAATCGAAAAAGTTCAAGCGTCATAAGACCACGTGTTCTGGAAAGATTACCGTCTTCTTTTTCATCAACAACACCCACCATGTCAATCTTGATCAACCTTAATAAGTAATGTCCCGTTTCTTATTGAGAACCAGACTAAACAACGACACCAATAGGCAATCATATCGACCATCTTCAAACACGTCCAAGTTCACATCGTACAAAGTAATAAAATAATTCCCAGAGATATCATGATGGCTACCATAAAACGTCCGAGTAACCTTCCTCAACCTTCACCTCTCAAACCCATGTTTTGTAAGTTTAACCTCCAGCTGTTGACAGCCTTTACAGAAATCTTGATACTGGTGACGCGCTATTGAATATCGAGTCAACAAGGAAAGTTGAACACAGAAGAAGCGAAGTTCTAACCACCTTAAAATGGGTGTCATCCATACAGACAATATATATTAAAACCTTACTTTTAAAACCTGGTAAGAGAGAATCTTTCTACACTAGTGAGGCCAATTTGACTGGTTGGTGCATATTCATTAAAAATTAGATAGTGAAGAGTTTGTCCTCTTTAATGTAACAGTGAAGCAAACAAACGAAAATAATGAAATTTACTGAATTATAATGCAACTCCCCATTAGATTTTGAATTTTATTCTGATCACTTTGGATTTTTCTCTGTGGCCTTCTTGTTTTCACAATTGAGGCCCTTAGCATCACTCACGAGTCCTGGAAGAAAGAAACACATGTATGATGCAGTTTATTTCATTGCTTGGCTCTACTGTATCTAACTCTAAATTGTATTAAAAAGGTATTAATCATTCGTGTCTTTGTAAAATCTGTTGAACTAATCAATGATACTATATCAGTGAACATAACTTTTTGTTTTAAACGTTTAACGTTTAATATCTGTGTAAAACATGTATACTTTTGGAAGATGAATGATATAATCTGTTGCTGAAAATTTCAATAGAATTCAATCAACAATGTGCCTCGTCCGTGACGAAACTCTATTACCAATCAACACAATATTGTAAACAGCTCCGACTCTAAACAGCAACCATATCACTTCGATAGTTCAAGGTTCATTGCTTCTATAGAAATACCTGTGATCAGTGAGATGCAGTGAATGGAGAGCTTTACAGCGATTGAGTTGATTTATTGTATGCATGCTCAATGGTTGAGGTCTGGATTGAAAGCCTGAGTACAGCCATGCATTAATGATGGCATGTTGTGGTCCTTATTAATACACTGCCTTGTACTGCTTTCTGATTCCATGATCACTGAGGATTAGGCTATCGTGATATATCTAGGAACCTTATAAATCTGCAATATGTAATTCGTGTTTACGAGGCACGCGATCGTGGACGAGAGCCAATAATATGCTTTAGATGAAAACGTATACAGAGATGGCCACCATGATATCGTGAATGCGTCGACATGAAAAGGAATATATAGTTAGTTTGAAACATATACACAAGAAGAAACATGATATTCTCGTGTTAACACAGAGCATTCATGAGATACAGCGACAGAAAATTAAATTTATCTCTGATGATTTAGTATAACATCGTTATTTATGTACTATTTTCAATATTGTACACCCTAAAAACATACGTGAAATGTTTAGACGACGAATCAATAGTAATGTTCCAAGGCATCAGGACAAATAACCGTTATTTCAGATTTTTAAAATTGTAATATCAAGAAGCCACACAAATAGCCTTAGATGAACCAATGCTTAAACGGTTATCACCTTCAAGCAAAATCCCTAGAGAGTGTAATTGCACTTTGTAACTAGTACACAAATTATCTCGAGCCCCAATGTGATATAAAGTAATACTATTTGTCCATTTGAAATTGTTGATGAACCAGAATGTAGACTAATAAATGGGTTTTTATCAGTACTATAAATGTTATTTTTGTGAGCTTCTCATTTTCGCTATTTGATATATTAGATAAATTGAAAATAATTTAAAATAAGGAAAACAATAATAATTCATATCACTTGCCTGGAAAAGTCCAAATTTTTTCAAGTTTTTTTATTACAGTGAAGATTTGAGCCATCTTAACACCAAATTTTGAAGCATCAATAAATAAAACAAAAGCTAGTCGTCATAGATAATCAAGTACTTTAATGACATGTAGGAGATAAATTTGCGACTAAGTATGTTAAGTAATATCACAGTCAGACTATGGGAACCACGTGTGTTGTCTCCAGATATACCGTTGATAATGATATAAAAATAGTACATCTTCTACTAAAATATGACATTTTGTATTTCCTTAAAAGGTCACATGATCATCTTATTGGTGACAAAAGAGGTCGGTATATTGTAACTTATTCTCGGCCCCCCATGACAGAATGGAACAAAGGCCAGTAACTCTGTGATATCAGAATGATTGCAATTGAAAGTTAAACCTATCATACATTTTAAACCAACAAAACAGATGAAAGAATTGAATCTATTAATGATGTATGTTTCTGTATCATTCTAACATTTTCTGTTGTTGATCAAATTTCATTATTGCAAATTAATAAATTGAAATCATTTAATCCAATTTCCAGGACATTTACTCAGAAAAAATGACACAGGAAGTGACATACGGAATCGGTATATCATATGGTTACATGGGCCTGCTTTCTAAAATTCCATATCCGACATAAAAAAAGTTTCACAAAGTTTATTTGAGTAATCGCAAAACTAATTTTGAAATTAAAACTAGACCGGTAAATGTCGATCAAAATAAAACTGGATTTTGTCCTAAGAAGAACATTATAAAGACATGCAACTTGTCGAAACATGGTACTGACATTGAAGTATTATGAGTAAGGTATGTATAGTTTTGATTTTATTGTAAGATCATGTCAAACGTGACAATATTATAAATCCTTAACGGTTTGTTAACAATATCTAACAATGTAACACAATGATCCAGACAACTATATATATAGTCAGGGTGGCAATATAATGAATGGGATGTCTTGGTATATTATAAATCAAATGAAAAAAATATGAAAAATATGTAGGTGGCAAGATATACATTTAACTGACAAACTCCAATAATTGTCTCTGTGCAGAAACTTTGCAGATGCAGTCTAAGTATCAACGATTATTAATGAAATAAGAAAACAAATATCAAAGAGTGACACTTATCAATAATTTACCATTATCTACATAAGGAAGTGAGAGGACAACTTGAAGGACTTTCCGTATTACAAAATTCGATACAGAAACTACCAACAGCGACCTTGTGTGCAAGACAGATCAGGAGAGGGAGTAAATTGGAACTGACGTTTTGGTCTTTAATTGCAATGGGAATCTTTGACCTGGAATTAGAAGCAAACAGAATAATTGAAATATTGTTATTTTATCAACTGAAAAAATGATTACTTTGAATTTGATTATATACTACAAGACGGAAACGGAAAATAATCAAATGATATTTTAGGACACGGAAAAAGGATGGCATTCAATAAAGAAATGTACAATGGCGGATTTGATATCACAATAGGACATATACACAAGCTACGAAATTAAATATCACAGTCAATGGTGTGTTTACAGTATAACTAAATCGTAATTTGCAATTAAAGAAAAATAAACAAACAATTTTAGTCGCACGTAACTTTGAAATATACAAAATACTACAGAAGTCAAATAAAGATAAAAAAATATGACTTAAAAATATGAGAAAGAACAATACTTTACAGTAACCTAAATGCGTCTGATAAGTAAGTAAAATCGTTATGGAATATACAATTTTCGATGGTCAAGACTGTCCATATATTTTCCTTATATGGAATATGGTCATCAGCTCTATTCTGTATTCATCAAAGAGAAAAAGGGGACAAAACTATTTGAAATGATATATGCGTGGAACAGATCGGTCTCTCTGATAGGTAAGTAAGTATGCCTAGGTAGTGAAAACCTATGTATACTTGATACATATTATCTGTTAATTGTTCACAATGGTGTCCTACGTCTATCACATAATTGTTTATGTAAATGCTTTATAAATCGAGCACAAACTTGACAATGTAAGCCAAAGACGACATTTTAAAGTTTGGTATAAGCATAATGATTATTTTTCTAGTTGAAGGTTCACTGTTTATAATCACAACTTTTATGCTCATTTGTCTTGAGGATTTTATTCATCCCTACTGGGCCAGGACAGCTGCTCAGTGTTCGTTTGTCGTGATGTATTTCGCCACCTTCCACTGAGCGAGGAAGGACTTCTGTCCGCCACATGATATCAAACGGTCAGTTTTCTTAAGGAAACTAAGGGCATTCACTGCATTTGAATACATTCTTGTCATCTTGTATTCTGGCTGTTGAATAGAAAAATAAACAATACTTCTGTTAGCATTACTACAGGTTTCGTTTATTTTACAAAATTATCATTTTTAAACATTTCAGATTGGGGAAAAAATTGTTAATAATGATATGTAAATTTTTCAGGCAAGTCGTTTTCTCAAATGATGAACTGAATAACATATATTACATAAACGAACATTTACTTATAGAATTAGATTACTATTATAAGGAACAGTTACAAGATAGCGAAAGTCACTCAGAATTGTTTAACATTGATAAATTACCTTGACACTGGTACACGGGTATTTATATAGGCGAATACCACCCTTGCTATCCCCAGCGGCGATGATTTCTTCGCTAGGAGATCTGTCCACCACCTTTACTTCATCGTCGTCCTTAACATTTGTCCACATTCCTTAACATAAAGGATAAACAACATTGAAAGTTTTCATCTTTTTTTGTTTTGGTATAAGCTATTATTTACTTTGGTAACAGGGATATATTAAGTTGTCTTATCTCTCAAATAGGACTTACATAACAAAGATGAAAATAAAGAAAATATGGTAAGAAAAAATGCAAAGTCTTTCGTCAACAAAACTTTGAAACACTTATTATGTAGTAAAATCTTCATTCCTTAAGTAACAAAACTTTTTAAAATGCATTAAATGAATTTTCTGGTCATGGAGACAAAATAACAGACGATAAGCAAATATGTAACTCAATCTATATAATCGTATTTTTCAGCATTAAAAAATAAAGAGAAATGCCTACTCACCACACACAGAGTAGCCGACTGTGACGTTCTGAGTATTCCATTTCGCATTTCTGAGAGAAAGTGACTTTTTTGCATTCATATCTGTCACGTCCCCTGGGATGCAAGAACCGAAAAATCATGGATTGAGAAATGTAGAAGGTTTTTACGTGACAGATTCTGTCGTCTTTCATTGTTTGTAGTCTTCAAGCTACATAGTTAATTTGCGTTGCAGAGTTTAAGTGTAATTTAAGTGTTATTTTTTAAATTTTTTTTTTAAATGGCAGACAATCTTGAATAAGTTGTATTTGGAGGATACTGTCAGTAAATTCTAATGGAATGCACAATGTAAATATGTTTGTGAACTTACAGTGGAAGAGGTCGTACTCGGACGACATTGTCTGTATACAGTGACTATTGGAGGTCCAGTCCACATTGATGACAGGATCTGAATTGGCCTGAAGCAGAACATTAAAAGTATAGATAGATCATATCAAAGTTTGTTATCATTGAAAACTAATGTTCACACATATGTGACCAATAATGTAATTATAAAGACAGATTGCATATACTAACCAACATATCCACTGATATCAGGGTTATGCTAATGCCAGTCCAGTAATATAGCTTCATACGTAATGCAACGGTACCAGTCTATTTTTTACTTGCTTGCTCTTTCTCTCAGTAGTACCACTGGTTCCTACATCCACTCGTTTCAATGGCCAGATTTGAAGATAGGTTGTTTGATTTAATTTTTTTATCGAACATTTATTAACGCCAAACATGTCTTATTTGACAGGTTATGTTTGGTCGGTGTGGGAGCATTGATGCCAAACCATACATCATTAGACACTACTGCAGGATACATAGAAGCAGCTAATATGTGACAATACCTTGAAAATAGTGTTGTTTCGAATAGCAAGCTTAGCGCCGTCGTTGATGTCGTTATATATGTACACACATCCGTCACGACAACCCACTGCCAGCGAGTCTCGTTCTGGAACACAAAACCAAGGTTTCATTTCAAACAATTCTCAACTCTATGGCAAATAATGTTATTTATTTATTCAAGGACAATATATTTTATATAACATCTAAGATAACTTCTTTGGAAATTGTGCCTGATAGTATACACCATATGCTTTATAAAATGTATTCCGTATGCTATTTAAGATAACTTCTATATTTCTTCTTATACAGTGTACCCTATATACGACATTTTAGGATTTTATGATGTATTTCAATCAGTTTTCAATAAAAGATATCATACATATGTAACCCTAGTAAAATACTAGACGAAGATACCTCTCGGCTAGAGAAAACTACTTAGCTCAACCGGTTGAGCGTCAGAATAATAAACCAGAGGTCGGAGGTTCGATTCCTAGCGGAGGCATGGAATAAATAATGACCTCTGTTACATTGGCGCCAGTGTATGAACTCGGAAATTATACTTAGTGTTACTGTCACAAACATTGCTATAACTTTTGGAAATACAAGGACGAGTTACTTGCTGGAAGAGGGTTTGTACCCTGATAAAATTCTCTTTAGCTCAATTGTTTGAGCGTCAGACTAATAAGCCAGAGATCTTGGGTTCGAATCCTAGTGGAAGCATTGGAATCAAATAATGACATTTGCTAGGCATAATAATGACATTAGCTACGCATAATAATGACATTTGCTACGCATAATATATACGATATCTCGTATGTTATACGAGATATCCTATATGACACGATATGATCGGCGATGACACTTAAGGTAATGAGAAACGATGTGTCAATTTATGACTAACCTGGTGAAATTTTAACACACTCGATGAACTCTGCTGTTGATCCAACCTTGATGATAGCGATTTCTCGTTTATATTTGAATGATGATCCAAGAACTACGACGAAACCATCGGCTGTTCCAACAGTCAAGTAGCGCCCATTACTGTCGATATCTATGCAGGTGCAGGGTTTCTAAATATGAAAGAATCTTATATTATAGCCAAATACTTCCTAGCAGACATCATATTTGGAAAATTTTTGTTACTTGTAAATGTAACTCTGTGATCATCTAATGTTCATGATTGTTCTCGGAATTCCATCTTTCTAACAGAATAAAAGACGAGAGCATCAGAGCTTCAAAACTACGTCGCTGATTATAAAAAGAAAGATATATGTTTAGACATCCAAACTTTGAACTGTAAAATTTGTTTGCGAAAATTAATTAAAACCCTTAAATTTATTCAGTTGTGTTTCTAACATAATGGCCATTATTCCCCTCTGTAACATAAAAGACGTTGTTGAATCACCTGTGTATGCAGCACAAGAAATCTTACAGACTATGTTTTCAAATTGTACAAATGGAACAGATTAACTGAAGACCTTTCAGGTCTGTTTCATACCCCGACATTCACAGTCTCCGGTAGCCCGCGTACGTCTGAAGACCATTTCTTCACCGTCATGTCCATCGAGGCTGAGTAGAAGGAGTGTTCTCGGGGATGAGACACGACGGAGGATACCGTGTCAAAGTGAGCCTGTCGGATGGTAATAATCATATAAAACGGACAGTTGGTTACATAGATATGTAATTATATTGTATCATTAAGACATGCCCCGAACATATGAATTTATTTAGATAAACATTATTAAGTACGCCATATGTAATTTTGTTCCTTAGAAAATGTTCATGTAAAATTTAAATAAACAAAGAATGTTTTGAGATAAAAGTGATGTGACCCCATGTAGTTTGTGGCACCTGCTTTATACTAACCTATTTGTATCAAAATAAAAAAAAATAAACTGGTTTACTCACCTCTATGTGTGTTTCGAAACTGTCATCAAATGATCCCTCCAGAATGTAGGAATTTTTCGTACCTATGTAGAACACGGGTTTACCGCCATCTGTCACAGACTTGTCCTTCAGTACAATTGACGCTACGTCTCCAAAATTATCGGCTATCTGTACAATTATAAAATCGTAAAATTACAATTTGGAAAAATAAATAACGCGTTTAAGGTTTAATCAGCAAATCACCTCAAAAGCGACATTTGGTAACGAAAATCAGTTTGGAGAATGGAGAAGGTTCAGTGAAAAGGACGGCTCAACCGTGCAGAGTATATACATATAATATCCAACGGACTGACATGCAATTCATTGCCGTACCTTAGCTGAAGAGCATTAGTCATACCCTTAACATACAAGGTGTCTTCTTAATTGAACTTAACAACCTTGTATCCTTAACTGACGACGATTTGTCGTGCCTAGGCTTTCCCCTACCTTGAAATTAACAATAATTCTTGTACCTTGAACTTCACAATCTTGTACCCTGAACTGACAGAGTTGGCCTACCTAGAGTTTCAAATGCATTCCCCTACGCTGAAATTAACAATAATTCACTTACCCCTAACTTAACACTCTTGCACCCTGAACTGATAACGAGTAATTGTGCCTGGACTTTCCAATACTTTCCCCTTCCCCTAAATTAACAAGCATTCTTGTACTCTGAACTTAACAATCTTGTACCCTGACCTGGCGACGAGTTGTCGTACCCAGCACTTACCACTCGTTCCCGCGTTTTCCTGTAGTGGTTGTTGCCCATGCTCCATGCCTTGATTTCTTTACCACCTCCTGATATTAGAGTTGAGTCGGGCAACATGCACAGAGTGTTAACAGATCTCTGGAAACAATGAATATCATACATTTGTTTTGGTATTAAATGCCATAAATGAGTGGCGGGAAAATAAAACAGAAATACTATAGAGGGTATCTTTATTTTATTCAGTGTTTATCAAGGGTGTCGCATCTTCATCATTTATCACATAATGCCTAGAGACGATGTATTGTGGGGTTTGATTAATGGTGATCGTATCAAACTAATTTTATATGTATTCTAGTATATATATCTATTAAAACCAAAATAAAGCAGGACGTGCCGAAGTGGATACTCACGTGGTGAGGGTGAGGAAGTACTGTAAAGAACCGGAAGACAAGTGTTGAGCGATCGACTGCCCATATAATAATGGATCCCGTGGAATCTCCTGTTATCACGTCACCGTTGTTAAGAAAGGCAATGGAGGTGATCTCGCGAAGTTCCTCAGAATGGAGCTTACTCGTCACCGGAAACTGTACACAATTTTGATATTAAATGTTGAAGTCTCAAACACAGAATGGAAAATAATGGGTCGTTAATGCAAGATCGAACTTCGAAAATGCATGACGGTTCAAAAACAACCAGAAGTTCCAAATTGTCAACAGATTCACATAGTTCACATAGAGGCCCTTGAAAAAATACAAAACTGGATGTTCCGGAAGGACAAGCGTCTCCTGCTTATTAAACGACTTCCAGATAGTATAACCCTAAGTATGATACATTCAAAGAGATAAAAAATACTGGAAACACAACAATTTAAGGGACCGAAGGAAGGAAATTTGGAACTCTTTCATGAAACATGGTATCGTATGTAAGACTTTTTATAAAGGTGACGAACATATGTGGAAGACACTGTTTTACAAGGGATTAATCTGCAAAAGGGACACTTTCTATGATCAGAAATGGAATTAAGTTGCATGTCCATGGAAGACACCCTTTTCTTCATATAATTTACTTACTGTGAAAGCACCACTCTCCTTGTCTCTGAGCAGACGACCATCTGTATCACGAACTGGGTCCCAGAACAGTTTCCAGAAGTAAAGATGTTGTTCGCCATAGGTGAGCAGGATTGTGTCGTCAAAAGGATAGAAGCAAGCGTGTGATACATGTCTTGCAGTCGTCTGTAATAAAGGGCAGCAATATATAATTAATTTTAATGTATTCGAGCTCCGCCAACCAAATCGATGTCAAATTTTCCCACGTGAAATAAAGTAAAACATAAAGAGACATAAATTATTAAAGGAATTGACAGCATATTTCTTCAAGTACAGTCGTATTCATATGGGTTACAGAAAAGATCCAGGTTTAAAAGCCGCATACAGCAATCTGTCTAATGCTGGTTACATTAGCAGACAAAACACCAGCTCAGCGAAATATCAATTGTCTGGTCTTGTTCATAATCATTAAGAAAGTCTTCACTGAAAAATTTCTAAATTTGTCGAAAAACAATAGTCAGCTGATCATGTTTCTGTAACAAACATTCATAACATTCAGTTTAGAAAGAAACTGCTGTATGAGACAGTTAATTCATTATTAGGTCACACAGTATTGATTTCTATATTTCTGTTTAAAGGTTCCATTTACTTGTGTGACTCCTGTTAGATCTACTAATGAAAAAGTATTCGAGCCAAACATTGCGTACACAAGATTCAAAAACAAAAAATATTTGAAAAATTTGATTGTCTGCTTGGCTAGTTGCTGTAAAGGCCATTATTGAAACTTTTCCTATCTTAATACATATCGCCAAGGTCAAAATGATTATGTGATGAGAAGTAAACTGAGATATAAAATTGGGCATTGTAGACCAAAACCTTCAAACCTTAAAACGAAAGTTGCACATAACGACATTGGAAAACCGTGAAAATTGAGTCGATGGTAAGAGACTTCATCGTTTTGTCTAAACCTTGAGTTTTGATGCTTTAAATCAGACAAAAGATCCTTCGAATGACCTCTTTTTCATATAGGTGATGAGTTACTTTCAATTATGACATATCGGTTGCAATGATTTTATCTACTAATTACCATACTAAATGATGTACGATTTAGGAGAAGTGTTTACACATCTTCAGCTATTGGTTCAGTTTTTATTATACCAATGATTGCCTATCAGTGAACTACAAACAAAAACAGTCAGTATAAGGCTAGGTTTGTGAAAGTTCAAGACATAATTCGGCCATGTGGAAACAGGCATTACGGACCTAGCATAGACAGGTTTTTAAACACAAAAGTATAAAATATGCCACGAGGAACATTTCCATCATTTTCAACGACAAAAGTACAAAAGGAGAAGAAGGACTTTATTGCATAAGCCATGAATGTGTGTTTTAAGCATGCACAAAGTTCTGAGGTACCAAAGTTGAATAAACTGATAAAACAGCATGGGTTCTTCAGTTACAATGTTGCATTTCTTTCTCTTCCATGCATGCAATAAAGGTTAAACTTTATTTCATTGAACAAAAGCATGTAAAAAGAGTTTCTGAAGTTCTCGAACAAAACCATCTGCGAGCTCTTTGATTTCATATTCGTGTATCATCTTTCTAGTTTAGGCTGCTGCTAACTGAGGATTTGATTATACATATCAAAATATTGACAATACTAAGCTCATTATACCTATAAATCAATACGAGGTAATGCTGACATGCAATATTTAAGTCGTCGCAGATAATAAGGGGTTGAGTAGTGGTAGTGACAGACGTGTGATGACATTTTATTTCAAACGTGAGAAAAGTGTCGTCATGAAAACCAAAACCTGAAAAATTACGAACCTTCTGCTTCATTGAAATAAAACACAATAAAGAAGATTGATTATAGCAAATTGTCTCCAATACAAAAAATACGATAACGTAAGCGTCCAATGATATCCGCACAGATTTTAAGTAAAAAATCCTATTACAAACAAAGTACATCGACAAAGGGACAGATAAAAAAGTAAATATACTAAATGAGTACTTAATAAACTAAAATATGAAGAAACATGGATACACTTTCAAACACAATCATTGTAAAACTTTCAATGTGCATTCAGCTAAAAACATTTATTTTCCTAACACACTGATTTTGTTCTGCGTAAGTGAAGAATTGCTAATATATGAAACAATGAATTGAATCAAGAATTTAAAAAATAAATTTAACAAAAAAAAATTTAAAAGATTTTGTGGAATAATTTTCTTCTGCTTCATCGACGACACCCGTTATGTAAACCTTAGTAAATTCAAGTAAGTAGTGTCACTTTTTCAATTGAGAAATAGGTATAAAAACGCAACCAACAGGCAAGCAACCAAGCATCAAAGAAGCCCAACAAAAATAACGGCGGAACCCAATAAAGCATGTACTTACTGTTGTCTTTGCCAATAGCCGCTTTCGATTCCATTCCCATACTGTGAGCACGTGCTTGTCGCTACTGTCTACGGCACATAGCAGAACGCCATCACGCTGACAAAACAACATGCAATTGAGAAATTTGCATTTATAATGATAATCTAATTGAAAAGACTCTATGTAAAACTGTTTAGAGGATGGTTATATCGGATAGGTAGGGCTTATTACCAAGACCCTAATTTGATAATATATTCAAAAGTACCATGTATAATAAATTATTTATCATGTTTTACTAATGTTTCCAAGGAGGCTTGCATATTTGTCGCCAACAAAACCTCTAGAGATGGACTTTCTACTAATCACTCAAGTTTAATCCTACCCAACGGTTTTGGAATTTCTTTAGTGTTTAGAAAAATGGTTTTTAAGATTACTGTCATTTCCCATCAATGCTACCTAATTGAAGATATAAATATTGTAGACCAACGTTCCTGTTGTCTTATTCACGGTGATCGGTTAACGTATATTTGTTTAGAATGTAAAATTTCCGAAAAGCTAGCTTTTCAATACTCAGTAGATTGTTATGTGGCCATTTATCTACACTATATTTCATTTATTATTACGTGTAAATTATAACAAACAATTTCTAATTGTATATGTATAATTATCACTATCACTGTTTACTTACGAACACTGAAAAATTGACTGATGCCACACCACACGAGAAAATTCCTACACCAAGTACGACTTGTGTACTTAAAGTGCGTCCATCCCAAATACGGATATGTGCCTGAAAGAATTGAAAAGTCCATGCTTTGACCAGATTCTTTCAAGTTTACATTAAAGTCAAATTATCTTTTCATCTTACTCTTCAATCTTATAATGTTCATTATAGATTAAGTGTATGTAAGTGATATGGACATCGTTGATTGAGCGTTAATATGCTTCAGTGATTTAAACTCCGAGCGAAACAATGAACCTGTTAAAATGAAAAACAAATGATTCCTTCGTGAAACTCAGTGAGTATTTTAAATGCTCCTTAATTGGAATATATGAGATGTAATTATGACGTATTAGATAAAGACAAACATGGATATCATTAGAAGTGCTTACCACATCTTCAGGATCAGACCCTGACTTCTGTCCCGTTGCTATCCACCGCCCCTCAGGATGTAAGGCCATACTGTAAATAAATGTAAACTATTAAAGAAGTGTCACTGCTGGTTGAATTTTGAACATTTTCATACTCACTGAATCGCATCAGGATGAGACTTGTGTCTAAATATAACGGATAATCAATGCCTATCAATCAATAATGAACTCACTTATTTTTCAGCACTAACGACAAGTTAAAAAAGAATCAGTTGACAATAAAACCAGTCATGTGGAATTACAGGTAAAAACATGTATCATTGATTCGTCTTAGAAGGTTGAAACAAATTTATGATGCAGTTTATTTCATTGGTTAGCTCTATTTGAATGTGTATTATAAGGTGTGTCTTGCGTGTCTTTTGTGCAATCTCAGCCACGCTACTCACCATGTGATTTCTTCGGTGTGAGCTAGGTAGAAGCGTTGCCGATCAAATTTTCTGTTGTAGAAGACAACAGCTGCTTCTATGTGACACATGAGTTCGCCTGTCCGGTGGTACACCATCATACTATTGCTGTTGTCATTAGAGCGGTACCCGTAACTACATACTAGTTAAGGGACATATGACATAGAACCATATCTATGTATGTATACTTGATTTGATGACCTTTATTTTCTTTTCAATATCTAGATTGTCATCATTTTCTTATAAGAATCTTTAATGCATCTTATCACACTTATATGTTATCATAACCAATTCAGTGCAGAGTATGAAAGCACATGAGACATACTAAAGGCTTCAAATTTTAGGCCGTAAGCATCATTGATGAGTCCTAGAGGACGACAAAAACGCTGTAGAGTTTAATTCATTGTTTGATTCTTATGTATCTTACTATCAATTTGTATGAAAAGATGCCGTTCCCTTTTGTGTCTTTTGAAAAAACTTTGAATTATCGCAGTCCGGATGATCATTCGTTAATAAAATTATATATCAAACGGTTTTACTGTGGTAGTTTAACACTTTCCCTGTTGAATTGTTCATATTTCGTCCTCCTTTGATCGATTTTTAGTTTTAATTAAGATTTGATTAACGTGTAGCATTTTTGTTGTCATCACACTGATACCAACATGTTCCGAATTTCAAGAATAGATAAAGTTATACAGCGAATTAGATAGAAGACAAATATTATGGGGTTTAAAAGTTGAACTGCTTTCTGTAAATTTGGAATTACAGTGAAATACATAATGTCATTATCACGAATATACGACTTTGCTAAATTCAGTCATTTAGAACATAGGGTTTAAGGATACAGCCATTCCAGAATAAGTTTCTCGTTCGGTCTGGAACGATCTTCTGGCATCGGGTTATCGGGTTGGAAATAATCTGAAAAGATGTCAAAATGATTTGAAATAAAAAGGAAAACGAAGTCATGTATTCCCAATCCTATGTCATGAAATTTCAAGCAAAACAATTAATTGGAAATGTTATTATCATTGACGTTCGACACGATAAGACAAAACGAAATTTGTATAACTGACAAATTGGTAGATATATAATTTTGCGTAGGTTGGTAAAAGAAGATAGATGTTCTTCATTTATTTTGGCATTAGCGGAAGGTGACAAAACGTAAGCTATACACATTACTAAGCATATACAACACATTTACTACCAAAATAAACCATTCCTAATAAAATATGCACCACATCATACAATGCTTCGTAAACTACAATGTTGTTGATAATTGGTTAGTTTCCACATAAACAGAGTGCCACAGGTAATATCCATTTGGTGTCATTAGTTAAATCACATGATTGTTCCTTTGGCTCATTTTTTAAAAAACATGTATTTACCTTTATACTTTCCTCGTATTCGAACTTTGACCCTTTTCGCAGTTTCCTCGTCGCTATCTTGGGTGTCGTCGAAGGGCACATGCTCAACAGCACAATCCCATCTTCGACGGTCATCGTTGTCTGGATATGTGTATTGATCGATGTCAGCATTGTAATCTTCGTCCTCGGGCACTTCTGTCAAAACATTACACGTTTTCATTACGTTATAAACACAAGAATCCAGATTCTGAAAACACTAGCGAACTTACCTTAAGCAATGCATGTAAATCATTTGTAAACTGATCAAAATCAAAATTATCATTAACTAAACATCAAATAAATAATAACAATTATCAGCATGCTAAACCTTTACTGAAGTGAGGAATTATTAATATGACAAAAATATGTCTTCGTTACTGAAAATACCACAATTAGATAATAATTCTTATTGTGCAATTACGGCATTTGCTTGTAATATATGACGTTTTTTTAAGTCACTTGTTTTATCAAGTCTTTTAAATGTTGATGAATAGAAATACATATCCGATTTTGACATTCAAAGTTCTGGAGGAGAATGCTCTCTCTAATTTATTTTAAGACGATGCCACATTCGGATAATAAAAAATGATATTCCGAAGGAAGATACAGTGGACATCATCTGTATATCATGATTTACATAACAAATAAAACAGTTTATCAGTAATTGAAATAGCTTGTTCCACTACCTGGTTGGTAGATGGCCGTGTCTGTGTTTTGCACCGAACCGTGGAAAAACTACGAAATATTAGGGCTAACCATTGGTTAGTCATTTATTATGGAACTGATGCACCTTCCTTTCTTTATAGGTTTGTATAGATTTAAAACTTCCCTATTATAAAAAGTCGTTAAAAGTTGGGTTTCGTGCGCTTCTTTTCAGGTTTATGACATTTATTTCGACCTTCGTTTCTTTCCTCCAATTGCAATCTAGATATTAGCAAAGCAAACCCATAACCTCACTAACAATACCTGTAATAACGAAACAGCAGTATGATGCCTTCCAAATTATCATATGACACTACTGTATCTAATTCTAAAATCTTGATATATTCGCTATTCAATTGTGCGTCATTCGCACAATCTTTAAGCTATTATTTTATTTTTTCTCTGGATTTGCACGCGTTTAGTTTATAACAACACTGATGAGCGCTATTTTAATTAAACAGATATGCGATGCAGCTTTCTTAATTATTCCAAACAAACTTAACATCATTTCAATGCAAGTTTTGTGTAACCGTATTACAACAGTTGCCTTTCAGGTTATCCATACCTGGAGCTGGTTTCGTGATCAGTTTTTCGTTTTCCTCCGGAGTGGATTTTTATACCCTAATCAATTCCAGCCTTTGGTAAATACGTGTTTTAATCAACAATTGTAGTTGTTATGTTATGTGAAGGACACCGTTTAAAGTTTATTTTGTATAGGAATCCGAAAATATCTTCTGTATATTGAAAGCAGTTTAGAACGAATTCTTCGCTAGCTGAACGTCTGAAATGATGGACTGTGCTGAAGCTCTTGGAGTATTGATGGAGTTTGAAATACAAGGAGCTGATATTCGAAAACCGTTTCTATCTATTTTCATTAAAAAAAATCACATTTGAATAATGCATCGACACTTGAAATTCTATTGCTTCAAACTATTGATTCCACAATTCAGAAATGCCTAGTGTGGATAATAAGTAATGTGACTGCAATGAGAGAAAATTTTAATCTGATTCAAAATATTAAATTGTAATATCGTAATGGCATTACAGGTCGGTTTTAAAAGAACCGGATGTAATTATCCACATAAATTCACTGTAGGAGCATTACAATATCAATTACCAATCAATATTGACGTACCTGTTTATTCCACAGAGTGCACCTAGTGACAGCGCTAACAGTTTGTATCAACATTGAGTATTAGTTAACTACCTATCGATGTAACATAGGCATTGTGTGGTTCATGGATTCCAAACAACTCGGTAAAATCTATTAATTAATGTGAGTATTTTGATATAAAGGATATCTATCAGAACTGTATCGTTTTAATATTAACATTGTGATACATATCATGTCTTGGTAAATCTTTGTTTAGTATATGAAGTGTGAACAGTTTGCTTTGATCTTGGCCGTTGCTATCAAGTAGGTATCTAGCTATTAAAAAATCACATTTTCATCCATATTTCAATGTGTAATTTGCGAATCTCTCTTCAATTTAATACTAGTATAATCGAAACGACACACATGATCCCTTGTTAAGTACAGCTTTGTAACTTTGATATGCGGAGTTCGATTTTCTTTATTCTTAAAGGGCACGATTCAACATAGATGCACTGACTCAAAGGTAGAACCTATGGCTAAACAAAACATGTTCTAAATCAAGACAGCGTAACACTTTTTTTAGTTTTAGCATCTTTAACACAACTTTGAGGAGGAAAATACAGTAGAGCCCAGCAATTAATTACACTGCATCATACATGTGTTTTTTTCTTCTTTGCCACGTCAGTGATGCTCAGGGAATATATTTTGAAGCCTAGGAGGGAATTGGGAAATTTAAAAGATTCAAAGTGAACGAAAGAAAAGTCAAAATCAATATGGAAAGGTGCACTAGCTCCACAACACGTAACAGTACCAAAAGTCATTTAAAACGGTAACTCAGGCAACAATATAACCCAGGTGATATGACAACCAGGTAGTTGCGATAACACAAAGGACATGTTTATCCAGGTCACCACAAATGTGGTAGTCCTACCTAGGTGATAACCCAAATCAAGGTATAAAATCAAATGTTTTTATAGTAAAATGACAAAGCAAATAAATCCCTTGGACAGAAAACGTATACAGATACCGATTATACCACAAAATTGATAAAACAACATAAAAAATTTTGCTCCTCTAATCGTTGTATATGTGGCAAGACTAAAAAAATAAACTGTGCAAAATACCAACATGATAACAGAATCATAATCCAATCTCAAATTCAATAGAACTGGAGAAAAATATGGACAAAGGGACGATTTATACGGATACTTCTGAAAAAGTGCAAGGACAGTAAGACCAAGGATAACTGAAGAGTAAGCGTTTTCTGCTTCATCGGCGACACTTGCCATGTACATCATAAAATCCATCAAAGCAAACGAGAAAATTATAGAAGGGAGAAGCACAATATTGAATAATAAGTATTAATAAAATAAATCAATATTTTTCAGAATTTAACTGTCACAGAAATCAACCAACAGAGTTTACCAACCGACATAATCTCAAAAGGTTATTCAATCAACATATAGTACAGATAGATTCTTAAAACAAAAAGCATTTTTCAATAATTATGAATTACATAAATCGCCAAGGTGTGATCTCGTATCCCCAAATCCCACCCCTCCCCCTTAAAAAAGGTAGACCACACTGATGTAATCCAAAAACGTTAATTACTTACAACCAAAAGCAAGCAAACACAAAAAACTCCAACTAGCCCTTCTATGTCGATCGAGGTAAAACTAACCACGACTGTGTTTTAATACATAGCTAACCATAATCGAAGGATTTCTGCATTTTTTTCTGACGACTCCCCCTACTGGTGACGGACTCATTACTAGAATTGCTGCTGGCAGCGGTCCGTTTCTGACCTGTAGCTTCCGGCACCGGGACCATCTCTTCACCACAGATTATAAACTCGTCTACCGTCTTGTATTCTCTGAACAGCTGTGCGTAGGACGTCACCTGTGTAAGGAAATTTAACGCAGAAAGTCATTGCATGGCGGAGATGTTTTTCGTTAAAAGAAACAAATGTTTTACATAAGTCTAGCGTACATCTTATTGACAAACTCTATTTCAATGTTGACAGTCTGGCTCTTTCCATCCGACTCTTCACAAACCTTGACGATATTATTTGTTGGCAGAGAACAAGTCTAACTATGTTTTGCAGGGACAGGTAAAGCACCAAACTGTAATTTAAACTTGATATCACTAAACCTTTGGAAAATGCGAAAATGTAAACTTCCCATAGAAACCATCTGCCTTATCGACAAGACATGCCTTACCTTTAATGTGTATTTAAGTATTGTTTCCAGAAGAAACGACAGAAAACGCCAAAGAGAAAACTTTTTACATTGTGGACAGAACCTTTGTTTTCATTAGTTCCACCTTCATGTCAAAACCACACAAAAATATCAACAAGTCAACACTATTTAAACTCAAAGTTAATAAGGCTAGGATAACATAAACAACAAAACAAAATAAAATTTTACACAGAGAGTCATAAAAAGTACAATAAGACCAGGTATTCAGGAGGAGCAAGCGTCTTCTGCTTCATCGACGATACCCGCCTTGCTCAGTCCATGTAAGTGATGTCACATTCTCAAATGAAGACATGGTACACAGCTATGAAATCCACAGCATCAAATATGTCTTACTTCATATCGCAAGAAATCACTATGACGACCGTACAACTTCCTTTTAATTTTTAACAACCGGCATCTTTTCAAACCCTATGTGACAAGTTTGCCCGTCAGTTGATGACTTATTGCATGCAAATCATCATACTTGGGAAAAAGCCCCTGAATATCGAATCAATAGCAACAGGTAAATATGGTAGGGTGAGGAATGAGGAGATCGAGAATATTAAAATTCACAATAGGGAAATGATCACGCTTATTCTACAGCTTGGTTAAGACTGTTCGTGTTGGTTTCGTTGTAAGAAAAGATCGAGGTAGGTGGCTGATATAGAAAAGTCTGTCACGTACATTATTGATTTTAGACAAAGCATAAAAAAGCGTTCGTGCGTTTCCTTGAAGCTTATATGTCCCAGCGGACATATTATCATATTACTTCAATAGGATATACACAGTTCGTCATATCATTGATTAAACAACAAACTACACCTGTGTACCGGGACCAGTGCGATTGTTTTCCTTTCATCGTTCAGTGATTGCATATTATCACGCAAATATGCACAGAGATAAGTCAGCAACTTTAAACATGAATTCCAATGAAATCAACTGTAACTCGTTCCGTTTTATGATCGACCTCCATCACTAGTATGATGTTATTATCCAACGAATAATTTCATGAAAGTTTAATTTTTTAAATACATGTTACATGTCAAGCGATGGTAGATAAGGCCACGCTGATCTATCTGGGAATTATATTTCCAGATATGTATTTCATATATTACCAGAGGGATTAAATAGTCGGACGTTGAGATACGTTTTTTAAATCTTGCAAACAATGTGTTAAATGCAATGGTCACTGCCATATTTCCCCGATAAATCTGGTGACACTATTAATCCATGTCATTAGTCCAGTGGACTTGTGATATTTTACTAGCACTGTCCATGCTGGTACTGGTACACAGTTTCTTTAGTTTGACGGTTTCTGAAGAATTATAGATTGAACAGAAATAATTAAAGGATAACAAACGTCTTTAACCACAATTCTTTTCTGCTATTGGTTTTATAAAGTCTCCGGGTTTCATGATATCCTTCTAAGTATCGTTAATTCGGAGCATAGAACTTCATAACAAGGCACGTGCTCCGCTATTAGGCAATACGTTTTTAACGAGACTGAATTTAACAAATTTATATCCTTCAGTTTCAGGTAAGATGCAAAGATCCAGTGTCAAATTTATTTCCGTGTACTGGAAATCAATTGCAGTGCAGACGTTCTTGCTATGTTCTTCGATTTTTCTATATTTTCTTACAGACATCGATCTTTTCTTACCGACATAAATAGATGCTACTATTACGCAATATGTGGAATTCCTTATCTCGATAATACAGCCTTTTCCAAATATACCATGTTTTTTATATCGATGTGTTGCATCTGATTTGATATCCAACAGTTTGTAACCAATATCCCGATTAGAGACGTAGATGTTGACATCAGATTGAAAAACTGATGTCAGATCTTTGGGAAAAATCTATTTATTCCTATTCCACATACAACATGATAATCGGCTACCCGGCTCTATTTTTGAGGGAATGACATTACTATTTTTGACGAGTTAAGACCTTTTACCTTTCTTGACCTGGTCTACTTCTTCACCGCAATCTCAATGGTCTCAACACTGCAGTAAAATGTACTTATTACAGTAGTAAAGTGGATTAGTTAAATTTTTTTCTTGTCAAATCGTTTATTGGGTTATGATGCGGTTAGTTTGTCTGAGAATCACGCTGTTAGGATATTAGAAGACACTGTACCAACTAGTTCCATGGCCTTCGGTATATATTGAAATAAATATTAATAACTTATGGTACGGTGAACTCGATGCCGTAATGACGAAGTGGGTTTTTTGGGCTAACGTAATACTAGGATCGGCGAATTTGAGGTCACGGTGGTTGAATTCGGGTCACACCTTCCGTGAGCACGAGTACAATAGCATGTGCTGTGTCATGCATAATATACAAGCTGGCTACAGCGGTTAATGTGTGTGTGCTGTAAATAGTAATACGTGATCCCTACAATTGGAATATTCTTTTATTCAATGAGGGTGTTAATAACTGCCGAAGCATGGATGCCACATTCTAGTTCATTCGAACACAGTAAAAGTTTACTGTATATCTTAACGGTTCTGTTACTTCTTACAAAAGTGGCACAGTTCCAAAAATCAAGATAATACCAACATAATCAAAATTCAAACCTAAAATCCATAAAACTAGGGCAAAATATGAACAAAGGAAAAATTAACTCCTGAAAAAGTACAAGGAAAATATGATCAGCCGTTCCGGAAGAGTAAGCGTCTTCTGCTTCATCGACGACACCCGCCATGTATATAAATATATAATTTTGTCAAAATATATAAATGTAAAAGATAAAGACTTAATAAAGAAGGTTTTATTTGAAAATTTATTGGAATGACGACATTGTAGTGTTTGATATATTTTTCGACTTGGATTTTTCTCAGCCGCCCATATATTTTAATCATGTAGGAGATTAGCACCATCGGCATGTCCTAGAAACAGTTGAAACTTAAATTCATCTTTTGGCTGTACAAAATCTACTAATTCTAATTTGTAATTTGTACTGAAAGACACTGTTTATATGTGGGTATTTCATACGATCTTCTGACAAGGCTTCTTACGAAATTGTTTTTGGAAAAATGCTAATGGCTATTGGTATGCTTTGTGGTACATGATCATTTGATGTTAACATTTATAACTATTTGTAGTTAGCACGAAGTTCTCTACAGAAATTAAGCTCCCATTGTCAGAGGGCTGTAAGTGAAATTCTGGACAATGTGTCAAAGAATGCTTACCAATTTTTGTTTGGTTTTCATTCAAATAATTACAAATAATTTAAGGTGAGCAGGTAATTGAAATATCATTACTATTTAATTGTTCTATAATAATTTCATTAATTTTTTATATTGTCTGCGTCCCTGGACATGAGATTGTGGATAGCAAGTTATTCTTTTCGTGGACTTATTTATCTTTATACTTATATATGAACTGGTTTTATCCACAGTTGCTTGATGCTTCTATAAAACAATTATATATGCTATGTGGGGAATTTTTGCAGTCGGCTTTTGTTGGAAAAAATTATGTAATTACAACGAAACCAATATTAAAACAGGAAATTGCGTTTGAGCATGTCGTTTTTTACCACATAGGATTATTAAGTGTAAACATCTTTATTAAGCACATGAAAGACAAAAACCAACAAAATACACAGCTGACTAGATACATTTAAATAATGAATATGAGCAGAATTCAATCAATACGCGTCTTGTGTAATGGTGTTTATGTTTGGACTACAAATTGTTAGGTTACATATTGATCACTGTATTGACACATTGTATTTGTATAAAAAAAAAAAACCTGCACAAAACCAAAAGTTTTCATGAATCTATTGTGATTTGTATTATCCCATCTGTTATACGTTAATTACAATTTAGGATTTGAATCAAATTTATATATTAATAACCATATTGGCGCGCATTAAGCGCTGAAGATTATATAGCTTCACTGATCTATATTTATAAAAACAATTAACATTATCTAATAGAACTATTTACTCGATTAATAAATATACACGTATTTCTATGAATAAGTAACAACACTTACCCGTGTTTCTGGTTTTTTGTAGAGGTATAACGCCGTGGCATTCATATTGATCATATCTCCCATATCACTCAGAATTTGGACAAATGACATCGACGTTTCCGGATTTAGAATCACTTTTTCCTTCCGGATCCGGTTTTTGTTTTGTATTATAGTGATCACTCGACGATTTCTGGATGGCGAATTCGCTGGAGGATTTTGCTTGAGCATGCCCAAGTCATTCTTGCGATTTTTCCCAGCTGATGGACGTTTAGTGACCCAGTGTTTCTCTTTAGAATAGCCATACTGGATTCCGTTCACTTGCGCATTCTTATCTTTACACACAATGTACGATCTGTTATTTTCAAACTTGTCCAGATCCTCGATCAGCTGTCGGTCTGGTATTGTATAAATACATTTTATGGGCCAATGTGTTCCTATTTTTGAAGTTAAATGTTCTTTGAGTTTTTCCATATCCCGCCATTTTTTGCTACTTACGGCAATCGTTAATCCTTTGTAGTTACTGTTGCCGTTGATATAAAATGTCACAAGATTTGCTTTCGTGCCATTTTCTCTTCGCTTACCTGGTGGTATGGCATTTACGGTCTTAACGGAATCGCCTCCATTTTTGCGCTGTTCGTACCTGCCTGCGCCTCCTAAGGTGTAGGGATGACCTCGGTAGGAGTCGGTGAACGGTCGATGATCAGGATGTCCATCAGCCTCCTCATCACTGTAGGCATACTGGATATCACTCTGAAAAATAAAATGAAGATTTACAGTCTGCCAAAAGATGAATAATTCCTGTTGCTAATTTTAAAAAATCGACTGCAGTCAAAAGTATCTTCAAAACTTCAAAACAGATATTTACTTAAAGTTATAATATACAGACGTACGTTATTTCATTGTATCAAAAATTACATAAAAAAACATGTTTAGTTTTGGATGAAAATTGGGTTCACAACAACAAATACATCATACATGTTAATGGGCGTCAATAAATGAATCTGGTTCTTACATAGATTTCAACTCAATATGTTTAAGAAACGAATTAATGATCAGCTAAAATGAAACCTTTGAGAAGAGATTCTTCAATAATGATTACTTTTATCAATAAATATCACATATTCCCTATGCATTTTGCGGGTGTGTCGCCGTTTCATTAAATCTTGTGCCACAATCACTTTATCATATGAAGTACAGTGTAGTACATAGAGTATATTCTCTCAACAAGAAGACAAAGATATATCCCCATGAGATTTTGACGATTGACGCTGTTTAGTAGGCTGTCGATTATGTCACGACAATATCGATATAGAGAATATCGACTAACTTACAACATTCCATCATTATACATTAGGGAAGCAGCAAGGTTACCATCTAGACATGGGAAATACAATTGTAAAATCACTCAGTCTATAAGTGGAAATCTTGTTGCGTTGATGTAAAGGAAGAAATTAGCTTCTGATAACGAAGACTAGGCCGTGTCCTTGATTTCCAATTTGTACAATTTTATTCTATAAAAAGTAATTGTCAGGATTGTTTTACCTTCGATATAACGACTCAAATATTGTTTGTGATAATTTGAGGCAACAGAAGAAGTCAAGTAACAATGTATAACGTTAAGCTGGCTGTTATTACAACAAGTATCGGTGTTGTAACATTTGTACGTAAAGTGTACCCGGCCGGCATATATCCGGACATCTTCCAAACATTCCGTTACATAACTTAGTGTGTTCGTGACCGCGATAATGAATGTGTAATAAGGCCTGAAAAATAAGTCAATTGGGTAGATCTTAAACAAACATAAATCTGGTACACAAACTCAACTGTTCCTTGAAGTTATATTGTAAAGCAGTATTGTGTATGTTTATGCTACAGAAACACGCACACTTTTACACCGCTATTGTAATTCTAATAGTGTATGTTTTGTGTTTTATCCCAGGTATATTTCAACTTAAATCTATGTAAGTATTGTATCAGTACATGCATGTATAATTCTGTGTATTTTATATTTTAACAAGAGTGTGAATTCTGTTTTATCTATAGATGTATTTTCTGATTTATCAAATGCATAGTGTTTCATAACAAGTATGCTAACATTATGTCAAAGATATACATTCTGTGTCACAATAGATATGCCTTGTAATATATCAAAAGTATGTATTGTAACATATTAGAGGGGTGTATCGCATATAACAGGGGTGTATGTATCATAGGAGTGTATCGTATCACAGGGGTGTATCATATCAAATAACAGGGGTTGATCTATCACATGGGTGTATCGTGTCATAGGGGAGTATCATATCACATGGGTGTATCGTATCACAGGGGTGTATCCTGTCACATGGGTGCATCTATCACAGGGGTGTATCTATCACAGGGGTGTATCGTATCACAGGGGTGTATCTATCACAGGGGTGTATCGTATCACAGATCTGTATTATATCACAGGGGTGTATCTATCACAGGGGTGTATCGTATCACAGATCTGTATCATATCACAGGGGTGCATCATATCACAGGGGTGTATCGTATCACAGGGGTGTATCGTATCACAGGGGTGTATCACATCACAGGGGGTGTATCGTATCACAGGGGTGTATCACATCACAGTATCGTAATTTACCACAGTCATAAATTATATACCACGGCTGTATCATATCGTGTGTGTGTAATATCACATGCATGAACTTTGATAACCAGAAGTATGTATTGTACAGTTATAAAGATATTCTATAATTTATTATTGTATGTATAATATTATACAACAGGTATGTATTATATTACATAACAGGTATGTATTATATAACACAACAGGTATGTATCATATTACACAACAGGTATGTACTGTATTATACAACAGGTATGTACTGTATTATACAACAGGTATGTACTGAATTATACAACAGGTATGTACTGTATTATACAACAGGTATGTACTGTATTATACAACAGGTATGTATAAAATTATACAACAGGTATGTACTGTATTATACAACAGGTATACAACATGTGTGTATGTATTATACAACAGGTATGTATAAATTATACAACAGGTCATGTATAATATATATACAACAGGTATGTACTGTATCATATACAACGTGTGTGTATGTATTATCACATGCATATACAACTGTTGTATTATACAACAGAAGTATGTATGTGTGAACAGTTATACAAAGATATGTATTATAATTTATTATTGTATGTATAATATCATACAACAGGTATGTATTATATTACACAACAGGTATGTATTATATAACACAACAGGTATGTATTATATTACACAACAGGTATGTATTATATTACACAACAGGTATGTATTATATAACACAACAGGTATGTATTATATTACACAACAGGTATGTACTGTATTATACAACAGGTATGTACTGTATTATACAACAGGTATGTACTGTATTATACAACAGGTATGTACTGTATTATACAACAGGTATGTATAATATTATACAACAGGTATGTACTGTATTATACAACAGGTATGTATTTTAGTATACAACATGTGTGTAAATTAATGTATGAATTCAGTATGATTTGATTAGCTGAAATGTTAAACTTTGACCGAACGGACGCTTCACACACTTACGGAAATTTGAACGCGCAATAAGTAGTTCATGATTGATTTTAAAATAATAATATACTTATTTGTATTTCAATCGTTTTCCTGTACGAAAATAACCTATCAGTTTATTTCTAGATCTAATCTGTGACGAGATACAACATCTCCGTGAATTTATGAAATTGTCAGTTTTGCATATTAAAAAGTAGAATTTCACTAAACGTCCTATCAATACGCCAAAACTGAAGACGTAACGTAAACAAAACACACACAGGTACAGAACAGGCCAATTCCATTTCAAAATAGCTTATTGTCGTAGAAACAGGTCACACAAACTCGTGGTGCTATATATAGTATTTCTTTCACTTCTGTTTGTTGTTACAAAACTGTTTCAAAAGCTTGTGATTTTATAAGTTTCGAAAAACAACTAACTCGAGAGGAAAAAACCCATATACCATAACCACCCGTTGTGTAACCCCTATTTACCTTAAGTGTGTTTATTTTCGTCATTAGTTCTCTCTATTTAGTACATTTCCTCGCGCAGACCTAGAAATCAGCAACAACTGTTTTATAAACCTGTAAGGCTGTTGTTGTATCACCGGAAATAACATCACTGGCGGTAAGATCGGAAAGAAAATAACGGGACAAGATGATGAATATATGTATAATGCTAGTCAACAAGGGTCTATATATGTAAGGGATATATTAAAGACAGTCGTAAATTCTTCATAAGGTTTTATATCCTATTGTGAACGCCTGGTTTATTTATTTCCATTTTTGACAATCTATCCAATTTACTGAAAGATTAAAGCAACAAAATTGCTTTCTTAATGGCATTCGGTTTCCAACGGATGTTTTTGTGAGATTTTCTCTATCTTCAGAAATAGCCCTATCAATATTTTCTGTCACGTGAAAGATAAGATTTAAGATATACTTAAATATTGTATACTAATTGTATCCTATATCATTATAAGCACTTACCAAAGAAATAGTGTAGGCGTTTACTAGACTATAATCAATGGTTTTCACAAAAATTCTCATTGATCTTGAACAGAAAGTGTATAATTATTGGTCTCTGTTATCATAATTACCGCTGTCACTACCACATTGGTAAACACAATATTAAAATCACCGCCGTTCAGGATGATTTAGAAAAGCAATCAACATATTAACAACAAATTATCACAATATCACAAAACTGGCAAAAAAACAAACAAACAAAACACAAACAAAACAAAAAACACAAAATACGTGTCTCATAGTAGCCATATTTTTCATTATTGTTACCATCCCAGTTACCATCAATTATACATAAACATGACATGATAGGAAAGTTCCGGGATGAAATATTTATATTAAAGGCTTGACTTGCCAGTTATTTGTAGTATATGCCAGTTAATGTATATACTTTAGCTTCCAACACCAATATGTTACCATTGTCGGCAATGATAACCATCACTTGCCCTTAATGTATTAAATCTCCTGCATATTAATGAAAGGGACTGTAGCTGACTGATATAAAAGTTGTTTCAAATGACATTTTATAACCCTTGGTTTGTTTAGCTTCTAGTTTTCAGTAAAAATCTAACCGTCCTTCCACAGAAAAATTACTAGCTGTATCACCATTTAAAGTATTTAGTGTGTATCATCACAGGGTGTAGGAATATACGTGTATTTTTCATTAATGTGTGGAAAACAAAAAAAGTGAAAAAGTAACCTCAGTTAAAGGGATGAAATAAATTGTAGCAGCTTTAACAGGAGATAAAGGCCATCAGCTCTCGGCGAGGACTTCTACAGCAACGTCACCCACACAGCATCATCATCATGATATAACAAATAATTTGTAAAAAGTCTAAAAATACTGAATTACTGTTTTATCTATTTGTTCTAATACAGGTAAAGGCAGCTGTTTAAGTGACGTCATATATAACGATAAAACTGGCTGTAATTAGTACTTATCAGATTAATATCTGTTTATGTTGACAAATTTGAGCATTGATATTTTTATTTTGTATTTTTATTATAGCAATTAATCTTAATGAGTCCGACACTGGTGAGCGGAGTGGGTGTAGGGTGGGGGCTAAAGTTTTACGTCGTGTTCGTCCGTAATTACACACTCAACGATCATTTTTCAAACCCATATCCAACATTAGAGTTCGGTGTACAC